ACTTTACAAGTTATCTCAGAAAATTGTTACGTAGCAAGGTTTCTAAGTGCAAGCAACGATTATGAACGATGCATAAAAGTAATTTATGTAGGTAGCTATCCTTTCAGCGGTAGAAGGACTAAGTTACCTTGAAATCCAAGCCGACGCTGATTTTGGTCGGAACATTGTCATGATAGACATGAATGAACGTAGTTGTTCTAGCATCAAGCATTTTTCCAAAACTAACGCTCCATTAAGAAAAGTCGCGCCCTGAAAGAAGCGTTCTGACGCTTTCGGCGTTTTTTCTGCTCTTTTGGATGAAGCATGGCATATTTCTGAGGAAGCCCTAAGTACTCAATGAGTATCACTTCTGTATTAAGCATGTCAAATAACTGCTTTGGAGAAAGTTTTGGCAAATTCGGAGGTTCCTAAATTGTGTCTCAAGGAAAGTGGTCATTTTCACACATCTCAACACAAAGCATTACTTTTTTTGGCCCACAAGGCAACACTCCCTTCAAGTAACCGCCAAGCTATGGAAGTGGGAGCCAGTCAAATTCTCTCTTGTTTAATTTTCGCTTTCAGTGCTTGTGTTACTGCTGTCATAAGTCAGAATAAGAATTTAAAATTAAGAGAGTTTACCAAATACTTGTAACTTTGTCGCCTTTCTTGTGATTTGTCGCCAATCTATGTAGTAGCGCAATTTAGCACACTAAGGAACCAATATTTGCCATTACCGAATTGGGAAAACGGGTATATCTTGTTCTAAAAGAAACGATTTCTGGTAAAGTTTTTTCTGTGAAGAAAAGAATGTTTAGCGGTTTTAGCGATGTGAAAAACGTAGTGTACGAATGCTTTGAAGGTGAGTTTATGGGATGTGGCGCAACCCCGATGAGGTCTGGCAGGCAGATCTAATTGGAGTTATGCCCCATCAACTTAAATAAATAGTTCAATAGCCCAAACCTCTTAATTCCCGCAGGTCTAATTTGAGTCTCATTTTTCTCCTTTATTTGTAACAGTTGCTAAAATCATAACCACTGCAAGCGAAATACGAACACGATTTTGAATTCCTGACTTTAATTTACTTTCGTACTTTGGAGGTTACCTGAAGTGGGATTTCTCGTGTGGGCAAAAAGGGAGTATTTAATGTACTGAGTGCAAATACACACAATGGTCGGCCGCCTCCTTTTGGCGTGGGGGTGACACTGGGTGTAGAACTGCGATGCACAGCCGAGTGTATACTCTGGCAGGGCCTCCTAAGCTGTGAAGGAGTTCGACGTTTTTGGTTTTGACCGGATGTACAGTATACACAAGGCTGTGCATCGCAGTTCGACACCCAGTGCGCTAAAGCAAGACGGGCCAGATCCACCACCGTCTGGTTTTCTGGTCGGTAGGCAGTTCTCCCCGCTCCAATCCCGGGGTTAGCGATAGCCCCGTGGAAGTCAAGAGTAGGGCTAGTAAGTCTGCTCTTGTAGGGGAAAAATTCCATTACTCTACCAGTTTGAAAATTAGAAAGAAACCCTGTACATCGGATCCCACCTACGGCGCCGGGTGGTAGTAAGAACGATGTCAGGGTCTTCAGGGCGCCTTTTGTATTGGACAAAAACGACACGTCTGCCCGGACGACACGCCATGGAGACTGCCTCATGCTCTGCACCTATAACGCCAGGACAGTCTCCACAAACTCCGATCACCACTATCTTCTCGACGCTACGGAGCACATCAAGTACCACATCATCGCTTTGCGGGAAACGAAGAGCAGGAAGAAGGACGTGCGATAGATGAGTTATGGGACGCTCATCATTTGTGGTGAGAAAGTTCCCTCAAAATGTTGAAAGTGTTGGCTTTGTCGTCCACCCATCTATCGTCCATCTTGTCGATTCTGAGATCCTAACACCTTGACTAGCCATCCTACGACTACGACCTCCACGTCAGAAGACCATCAGCATCATCATCTGCTACTCAACAACATCAGCAGGTAACGATTTAGAACCAGATGCTTTCTGCGAAGACCTGGAGGAGGTTGTCCGCAACGAGAATTCCTTCTACAAATTCGTTGTGGGCGACTTCAACGCGAAAATCGGGATGCCACTAGAGAAGGAATATAGGACCGGGGGGGGGGGGTTGGATATGGGCTCCGGAACGAAAACGGCAACAGTCTCGTTGAGCTTCTCTCCGCCGCACGACTTTTCCATGGAAATTCCATCTTTGCGGAGAAAGAACACGCCGGTGGATATGGGAATCGTCCAACGGAACGACTCACGAGGAGATCGCGGGCTTTGAAAGGATTGCGAGCCTGTGGAGAGTGCGCATCAGTGACTTCTGAGAAGAACTTGGAACGCATTTCGAAAACCATCAAGGAATTGCTCGAAAGAAGAAGACTTCTGAGGCATAATTTGAGTGCAACCTATTTCGAGCGATTGAAAACCAATGCCAGTTGCAGAAAGCTTTGCAGTAGGATCTCAGGAAGTACAAGCAAGCCACGATACTGGAAGCAGCCGAAGAAAGACGAAGTCTCAAGAAGTGTCGAAGGGACCTCTGTGAGTATCACGTACCGCTGGCTGCACCATTGAACAAGACGTCCGACTTCTTCCCGATATAAGATGGAATCGATCACGAAGAACTTCTACACCAACCTCTTCCACTCATCAACACCCGTGCCGATGCCCGTTCCCCGCTGGAGAAGTACCACCACGAATTCTACCTGCTGAAGTGCCCACGGCGATTCAGACCGTGAAGACATCCACAGCTCCAGGACCAGACCATCTTTCCGTCGAGTTTCTGCGAGCCGGAAGACAACGTCTACACGAGATTCTCGCCTCGCACCTGACATCTTACCTTCAGAAGGAAAGGATTCCCGACCGTGGAATGGAGAACGTCAAGAACCGTCCATCTCTTCAAGAAGGGTGGATCTTCAAATACCGTCCAATATGCCTGGAGTGTACCGTGCAAGCTTTTCACGAAAATTATCCTCCCTCGCATATCTATGACATTGAATGAAGCCCAACTTCAAAAACAGGCTGGATTTCGCAAAGGATTCAGCTGCATGGACCACATCCACACCGTTTCGAGGGTCATAGAAGTCTGCCGGGAGTACCGACTGCCTCTCGTCCTAACCTTTGTCGACTACGAGAAAGCCTTTGACAGCGTCGAAACCAACGCCATCCTGTCTGCGCTAGTTGATCAAGGAGTGGACTCAGCTTATGTGAAGACCCGACTGCTATAAGGACTGTATAACGACGATATAGCCTCTTCCATCGTCCCCTGACCATCCCAGTTGGGAAGGTGTCCGACAAAGCGACATTATTTCACTGAAGCTGTTCACCGCGGCCTTGCAGTGGGTGATGAAGTCACTGGACTGGGAAGAGAGAGGCATACGAGTTGATGGGAGATCCCTATCCAACCTTCGGTTTGCGGATGACATCGTCCTCTTCTCGAGCAGTATCACTGAAGCAGAGACGATGCTGAAGGATTTGAACGAAGTAGGGAAGAAGATAGGACTGCGATTAAATCGGAAGAAGACTCAGTTTATGAAGAACGCTTTTTGTGAAGATGCAGAAATGGAATTGGTAGGCACCTCTATCATGAAGACGAATGCCTACGTGTACCTCGGACGTTCGATGAACATGGAGAACGACTTGTGGAGAGAACTTAACAGGAGAACAAAAGCAGCTTGGGCCGCTTTCGGGCCTCTGAGGGAAGCCACTGACCAACCGACGGACCCGGAGCTTTGCCCATCTGTTCGACTCAAGCGTTCTCCCAGCGCTCTGTTAGGCAGCTGAGACTTGGCCCGACACTGTAGCCGCGTCGAAAGTTCTACGGACCACCCATAGAGCGCTTGAGCGCAGTCTTTTGAAGATGAGCCGACAAAAACAATACCTTATCGGACTTCGCGGTACGGATTTGATGGCAGTGGATCGGCAGAATGGACCCCTGTCAGATTTTGGTACTGTTAGGTAGTAGGCCTCCCAAGTACATCGTAGCCCTAACCCCAACCTCCGAACCAAGCGCTAAGTTCTGTTAAGGAGCTTCAAAACTCCGTCAGCCCCATCCACTTCCATTGAATAGGCGTTATTGGTGGCAGTTTGAAGCTTCTTTTCGAGATTTAGTGCATGATTTGAGGGGTGAGGTTGGGGCTACGGTGTACTTGGGAGGCCTACTACCTAACAGCACCAAAATCTGACAGGGGATCCATTCTGCCGATCCACTGCCTTTAAGAAGAATGTCCCGTCTTCGTGACCCAGCGGAATTCGTTGCGAAAGCGAAACATCGATGGGCCGGTCAATAATGAGAAGAACAGACGACAGATGGACATTAAGAACATCGGAGTGGATTCCTCGCGAAGCGAAACGTCCCCGAGGAAGACCTCCAACAGATGGGCAGACGTTCGTGGAACGGATGGACCAGCTGAGAAATCAGCTGGATACGATTTTCGCCCTTGGAACCCGTGGACGCAGCCACCGACGACAGCCAAGAAGATCGAGGATGTCCGAAGCGAGGAACAGGAAACAATGGAAACTTCTGTACTGGTGCTCGCACGATACGTGCCATCTAAGTATCCAAGTAAGTATTGAGTGCAAAAAAGATTAGCTAACTACCTTCAAAACAAAGTTAATTATGTTTGAGAATGACTATCCGTTTGGATGGACCAATATTTGGAAACCTCAGAACTCGCTACAGCTTATTCCATAGGGGTTACATGCTAATTACGAGCATTTTATTGATTTTGCTTGATAATGCCTCATGTTATGCCATTGCGACTATCGTTCTTTCTCACTTGCTGCATTTCTGGCGTGCTTCATGTAGCTAATATGTTGGCAAAATGCAACACTTAGGCGCTGACGCTGAAAGGCAAAATGTTTGCCAACCTGTTAGCCATACGCGCCAGGTCAGAGGAGCAGAGCAAGAGTGCAATTCTGGAATGAATGATAAGCGGACATTTCTTTTCAGATTCTCGAGGTCCCTTATCATAACATCATCAAGAATGATAGATTTTAGGGTGTAATCCATTTATTTTGATCCATGGTCAGTATGGCGTCGTGTGATATTTCGACAGCAATTATTGCTCTATTGATGTTATCCCTATGCGTCGATATGAGATCAGAGGAGCAGGATGAGTATGGATACGACCAAGATCAAAAGGAAGGTGACGACGGACCGCCGGATGATGCGCATAACACAAACGTTTCCAAAGAGAACATCATCAAGCGTATGTCTTACGTTCCAGCGGTTGTACATAAATCTGCACTCGCGTTTGACTTTGTATCATTAAGCGCTGGTTAAATGGAAAATTCCCGGCAACGTTGAACTCATACAAGATTACGAATTCTCATATCACCCTCATGTCGACATCCAGATTAGAGATGCCGAATGTTACTGTAAGATCTTACTATGAGAAAATCTGGAAAAGTTATGAATGTTATACAGTTGTTTTCAGCGTCATTCACCAGGTCAACTTTCACCATATATTTGGGTGCACTTGATTACCATAACTGCTGGCTCTCGGAAGTACACGTCAAGAGTGATGAGTTTGACTACGATATATACACATCTACTCGCAATTACAAGGTCATTTGTGTACAGTAAATTCCAGAACCGAAGTTCACAGATAGCACGATTTCTAATACTCTGTATAATCGGAATTGCTCCAATACAGCCGACAGCTCCTGTTCAGCACCGCAATCGGCAGTAATGAAGTAAAACTACCTATCATACATTGCAACTGTTTATCGGTCGTGCTGCGGTGGGTAGGGAAAAAGAACTCAAGCTGAAGATTTCCAATAATCCCCAAAACTTTGTGAAAACGTAGCAGTCTTGAATGTCATCATAGCTGAAGCAACATACCATTCGATAAGTGTCCTTGTTCTGGTTCTTTTTAGGAAAAGAAACAGAACGCTACGAAGATTTTCAAAGACATGACCCTTCCCCCAAAAATGACCAGAACTAACAGTAGCAACTACACAACTTCGAATGTACGAGGCGATAAATTTTCGTCACGTTTCTGTTGACAGCATGAAGGTGCGCAAATATGAGGTAGCTGGAGAAGAAAGACGCAGGGACAGTGATCAGTCAACGTAAATGTACCCTTTGATTCAACGAGATTGGCGGTTGGAGCGACCGTTCGTGCCCGCGAATTCTGCGCCTCTCGCGGGCGTTTTCCCTAATCATTCTCTAGCCTTAACCACGCCTCGAAGTTAGCATTCCAGCCGCCAGTCCTGTTGAATCAAAGGTAAAGCCGTGTCAGTTGGCGACAGTTATATTGCGACCACTGCTCAAGCAGTTCGGCACACGATTTCGGACTTCCTTCTTCTTTCTAACAGATTTTCTCCTGCCATATGCTAGTTTCTCAACATTAAAAGCCATTCACCAGAAAACTAGTATGATTTCGTTTCTAAATAGCTAAGACTTGCAGACGCGGAGATGTGCACGTTGTGACAGCTGACATGACTATCACGTTGTGGCAGGACCCCACAACCCATTTTATTCTTTCACAATACAACCTACGGGATAATGAACAGGAGAGAATAGCGATGCCAAGCTCCGCTCCTATCACCAATCAGGGGCGGTACGTTGAATCTCCCGTTCGGGTAGGTGTTCCCGAGCAGGTCGTAATCCAGTCAGATGCAAGCGCCACGCCCATGATGCGCGAACGTGACCGCCTGACCGTGCAAGAGCCCGGTCAGGCCGGTCAGAATCGGGTAGGTCTGCAACCTAGTCATCTGCCTGATCTCTCTTGACCATAAGTTGTTTGAAATATCGCGTTTCTATGATTAGCTGGACAAAAACGTTAGTAAATCGAACAGCTCATTCTAATAAGCAAGTAAGATCTGTAAATTGTCTTTATGCAAAAGATTTATCCAATGTGTGATTTTATATGATTTGATTGTGGGGTTTAAGAGGATTTTCCCAGCCCGAGATCTGAATCTCTTGTAAAATTCAAAAAAATTAAATTAAACCTCAAATCAGACAAGTCTCTTGCATGAAACAATGCTCGAATCTTGTTCGCTGATTAGTGAATGAACCGTTCGATCTACTAACGTTTCGGCCACCCACTTATAGAGACCGTTCGCACAATCTATAGTCAAGCGAGACGGGCTGGTAACCAGGCATTGCAGCAGCCGGTTCTGTCCAGGCTCTTGACGATCAGGCGCCCACTCATACATACCGCCCCAGAACAAAAATGCAACTTATAAACTCCACATGCATATTCACACTTTCATAACCATACTCTCAGATGATTGCCGGGGCAGGCGACCATGCGATTTTTGGGCAAGCGGGCCCGGAAAAGTTCGCTGATTTCTTGCGCTCCGCTTGCAGAAATTTGGAAGAATGTTGGCCAATTTTTAGTGATGCTTGAAGAACAGTTGCGGCCCACGCCCCAAAATTCTGCTGACCGCCTATCCCGGCAATTATCTGAGCTTTTGAAGCAACATGTCAGCATATGTGTTTACTGGACACAACCCCTACACGCGTTTAACGAAATCGCATGAGGGCACAACCCCGTTACCAGAATTTGGGAGTGGAAGAAATTTTAATCTTTTCCGTAATTTTCGTACGCTTGCAAAATCACAATTTCTGCAACCTCTTTTGACCACACACATCCAAATTCATGCACTTATAGCCAGCGTTATGCATCTTCACTTACAGTGCACGCTCAAAAGGTTAACCACATAGGCTAATTGTTTTCATTCTTTCAATATCTTTCCGCAAAGTTTGGGATGAAAACAAGAAATTCAAGTAATTCGATGCATGCAGATGCTCCTCTTTGTCATTGTTATACAGTTTTTCAGGGCTCGCTAATCGGTAAGGGCAACAATATTATGAATTTCGTCTCTGTTGATCACTGTTTCCAGGAAGTGAGTTGTAGAATGTTGAACAAAGCATCGGATTGATTCTAGAGTGTCTTAAAAAAGTCCACCTTTTCGTTGTCAGATTGTACGCTTAAGTAATTGCAAAGATTGGATAGATATCACAGTGTGGATGTTGTTTGTCCCAGGACGAAATGTACTTAATCATTGTCAGCTCATGTATCTCAGCGAATGTAGGATGCCGTAAAGACCTAGACGATGAATGCAATAACTTACCCTTTGATTCATAGGAGTGGTGGGAGAAGGCGACCGCCCCCGGAGAAACGCAGACTGCGTCCAAACAGTCTAATCAGTCCCTAGGCTTGATTTACGATCAAAACCTCGCCTCCCACGCGCCACTTCCGGTGAATCAAACGGTAATCCCTTTTTCATCTTTGTACAACAAAAAGTCTCCAGTGAAGATTTGCGGTTGCGAAATTTCTAGCAATTTCTATGTACAAAGCTGAACGTCTGTCTATTATGCCTTATCGATGTTCGTATGAAATAATAATCATCACCTTTACCAATTTTTTCGATTCGTTAGGGTTGTTACCGGGAGGAGGGAGGAGAGCAGGGAAATGTTGTGCGAAAACGAGGCGGAGTTATTCTCCCATATAGGTATGTCGGCAAGGTCAAGGTGGAGTGTGGCGTGCCATACCTGGGGGTCGTACTGAGGGGTTGGGGAAGGGGGGATTGTCAAATAAGCCCTGTGGGCCAAGCCTCGGCGAGTTCGGGGTTACCAAATATTGAACTCTCCAAATGAGATAATCATTTCAAACATTTTACCTTTGTTTCAAAGGTGAGTTGACTATTTCTGCACTCAATACAAGGAACTACTACTTCTTTGCTCACACAAGGGATCTCACTGCGAATGACAACCAAACTATGAATGATGAGCAAGCCAAAATTATTTCAGATTAGAGAGGACCAGTCAGGCTCAAATCACTTTTATGTAGATATGAGGCTTATCTTTTGAATATATTTATCCCTGTCGCCTTCTTTTGCAATTTACATTGTAGCGCAGACTTAGGCGTTACCGTAATTCAATATTTTCGCAGCATTTTCCAATTGCATAGGTAAGGGTAATATCTTATATTTCACACTAAATTTTTTCCTAAAAGAAACAATTTAGATGATGTCCCTATTGCGTAAAGAAGAAGGTTGCAAAAGCAACGATGTAAAAATGCAGTTATTTGAAGCGTGGCTGCCACAGCTTTTTAGGGGTTGTGCCATACCTCATTTACTTACCTACATAGAGAATTTTGAGAAACAAATTATGAACAGTTCGATAGCAAAAATCTCGTAGTTTTTGTAGAAGTGATTGGAACTTTATTCGTTCTCTTTCGTTTAAGCAATAGTTGCTGGAAGTACAACCACTATAAGCGAAAATGGGACAAACGAGATCTTGGCTAACTCAATTCCATACTTCTCAGACACTTTTTCCGACGGCCCGCGCGCCTTGAGCGTGCGAGCGCTCATGCCTCCCGCCGCCCGTGGAATGAAGGTACGCGGCTCGCTCGCTGAAGGCGCGCCGCTCGCCCGCTCCTTCGAAAGCGTTGTAGGACCCTATTGTGATACAGATAGCAATCCTTTGATAAACTTCATATTTTGTCATTGAAATACAACCTCATACCCTCAGATTTATTGCCAAACATGTGTGCAGGTATGATTATGGCAGATTTATTATCCAAAGACTTACAGAAAGACATAATACAGAATCAAAAGCAGAACACAACAGGCAACAACTATAAAATCATCAATACCTTTTACGCTAAGCCCCTACCGAATACACGTAAAGCATAACAGCCATGCTGATACTGAGAAAGCACTGATAGACACCGGTAAGAATGACTTGATTAAGCAAAAAAACCCCGGAATCCTGTCAGAATCATGACACTGAGGCAGTGAACACGGAGATCTTGATGAAAGTTTGAAGCAAGGTACCATTATATTACGAAAGATGAAACACTAAAGAGAAGACACTGAACAATACTTGTAAAGAAAACACAAAAAGAAAAAATCAGATTGAATCAGGATGAATTGAATTGAATCAATCCTAAATCAGGTTGAGCAAGTCAAAGCATATATGACATCCCAGAATGTGCAGCCGGACTGTCATGCGATTAGCAATATGCCATAGCGAGTGGATGTCCGATCCTAACATGCAATTCAAACTGCCGTAAGTGACTTTAGCGCGTAATACGATATCTAATCTGATAAACTCCTAGAAAGAATTTGTATGTTTTTATCAAAAACAATGTACTCGTACTTACGTAATAGATCGCTTCGTTAAACTCCTGGCGATGCATCTTCGATAAAATTAAACGGGCTGCCCTGTCAATGTGCAAGATTCCGTTCTCAACGCATTCATGAAGTGATCTAAGCAACGGAAGAGGCTGAACTCCTCGTAGGGGAGTTTCAACGTGAAACTCGCGTCTTTCGTATACGTTACCTGAAAAACAAAGTCTAGGAAACATAACAGAAAGGAAAAAAAGCAAAAGCTATGAACCTTGTGGAGCTTCTAATTCCATCTGGATATCTGAGGGTGCCGCTTCGTCTTCGACAATATTTTCCACAAAAGGATTCTCTCTACTGAAAACGAAACTACTAGAGCTAATAAAACCAGATAACAAACATACCCAGTGAGACATGGTGGAAAAACAGGTCTAGGCTTCGCATACGTTTGTGTTCCCCCAGATTTACGCTTGAGACTGACCGCGGCCCGATACATCTTTCAAAATATTGTAATATCAGGAAAAAACATAGCAAACAACTCTGGTGATGGCACCAAAAAACCACTCTGCACGAAAACGTCTTCCTGCATACTAGTTACGGTAACGGTAGGGGCCGAAATCACAAATTGGCAAATGTATCTTTTCCCGTGCTTTGCTTAGGCAAAAGCCGCAGCAGGGTGTGTAGCGCACGGCGGTGGTCGTGTGTGCAAAGCTTCAGATCGTCCGAATCGCAGTACACCCGTTTCAAGCAGAACTACGTTTTACATCCGCTATCGTGTAGCTACCGTAATCCGAGAAAATGACGCTACGGTTCAAAACCAATGTGATATTCAGCATCAGCGGGCCGAATAACCCCTCTGGGCCAAGTTTCGGGCAAATCTATGATGTTGGCCCCCTACCGTATACCAACCGTAACCGTGCATGGAGGCGTTTTCCTGCGGTGAAAAGGTGATATTCGTGATCAGCGCCTCAGATAACTCCTCTAGGCCAAGTTTGAGCGAAATCCATGACAAAAAAATTTTGGGGCCCGGATAGCCGAATAGCGGACGCAATACGGACGCTAAGATGCTACGGAATAGGGAGCACATGGATGACAATGGCTGTACACATGTGAACCAGAAAAAATACAGGAGAATGGAGACGATTAGCCGGCGAAACGGACAAGCAACCAACGATGCGATAAAAAATGCAACCTCCTACGGCTAACAACGAATTCAAAATGATGCTTACGCGTCTTGTTAAGTTACATGTTCGTTGTTCTTACATATTTGTTGATGGCGCGCCGCTCGCCCGGTCACTCAAGATGGCGCGCCGCCCGTCGAAGGCAAGGCGCGCCGCTCGCACGACAGGCTTCGATGGCGCGCCGCCCGTCGGAAACGAGGCCACGCCCACAAATCTAGGCGCGCCGCTCGCACGGTAGGCTCATGAAAGCGCGCGGGCCGTCGGAAAAAGTGTCTGAGTTTGATGGTGGTTATTCAAAGTAGGATTGTTGAGTGGACAAATAGGAAGTAGTGTTTTGTGGTGAGTACAAAAAGAGGTAGCCAATTCGCATTTAAAATAAACCAGTGCGTCACCTCTGCTTCGCAGAGGCTCGCACTGGCTCTGCTCTCTAGGCCCTACTCATTCTCGTATAATGATGGCATTGGAACTCACCGAGCAATGCCGACTATCACAAACAAAATGTAAACAACTACTCATTCCGAAAGCTTTTTTTATGGAAAATCGTTGATTTCGCGTGGATGAGACTTTTTGCAGGAAAACAAATGCAAATTTTTTTTATAGATTCTTGATTTTCTCATGGCCTTTACAGTTATAATAAAAACAGCAGTCACCGTGAGCTACGTGAGCTACAACTTCGTGCAAAATTTTTGTCAAATGGTCTGGTAAAACCTTGGCAAATTGATCATTTACTCAGCCAATACTTTTTGGTGCCGTTTTTGTAAAGTAATGGACTTTTAATCACTTTTTCGAGCCTAAGTTCATGGCTTGCACATTTACGTGGCACAAACAACCACGACTCTGAAAAAAGTGGAATTACGGATTCAATTTTGCGGCCCAAATGCAAAGTGGATCCGTTTGACACGCAGATTCTGAGGGATCCACTCAACGAATTTGCTCGTGCTTTTGCATGTTGGACTTTCATGCGGGTAGCATGCGCTGTGCAAAATTTGAGCCCAGGAGGTTGGCTGGAACACGCTCCACGAATTTCGTAACAGACACACTCTCAGACACACACACACAAAGTCACGTAAACATTCTTAGCCCGTTATTATAAGTAATGATAGTTAATCATGTTTTAAAATGGCCACTTCACTTGGGTGGCCCATTTATTGGGAAATCCCAGATTTAGCTAAAACTTAGCCCACAAGAATTATTTGACATGATAATCACAAATATGTTATTAATTATGCTTGGTAAAGCCTTTATGTCATGCCTACAGCAGGCATACGAAAATGGGGTGGGAGTATCGAGGCAGAAAGGGGAAGGGGTCGTATCCGGCGGTTGTGTGCCACATCCTTGCTCGACCCTGGTCTGCAAGGGCCGAGCGAAGGAAGCCGGGTATTCCAACATGCCAGCAATAAATCTCTAATCAAAACATTTAGGGTTATATCGACTGTGTTCCAAGAGCTGACGTAGTCTTTATACGCTTTGAAAGTTCACCGGCTGATCCTTGGGCGATTGATCAGATTAATGTCGATATTCACTTTCAGTTGGGCGTCGGACCTGAAAATGCGTAAGAAATCAATTACCACACTTATGTACTTCAAACAAAATTAATATTTCTAGATATCGATGGCACTTTGAGCATTCTGTTCTTCTTCCATGTACTACATGGTTGAAAGATGCAGCTATGTATCAGATAGGTCCACGAGTTGGTCTTTTCGTCAAGCACCCATACCACTATATGCCGAAAGTGAATGAAAGGATTCGTGATTGGGTTTGAAATGGAGTCAGCAATTGAATTCAAATTTCTAAAGTGCAATACATTAATCTATAATGAAATAAACGATGAAATAACCAATGTTTGAAAATATCATTTGTTTTCAAGATTTCGACATGCTACTACTGCTAAGCCAAGGCGTTATTTCAGTAAGTCCCCGAAACTAAAGCCAGAATTTCTCTTAGACTCAATCTATGGGAGATGATCCGGCAGGTTGATCACGAATACATAGTGTTTCGCATAGTGAGGCCTATTCGTGGAGTTACAATGGATGGTAGGGGTTTCAGGAATCTTTCAAAATTTCGGCCCAGGGGGGGGGGGGGAGAAGAACAAAATGAGAGTATCACGTTTAGCGACTTTTCGAGTTATGATAGGACGGTAGAATGTTAAAATCTCACATTTGTCGGAAACTTTTCGCAATGAGGTTCTTTAACATGCTGATCACAAATATCGTGCTCATTTCTTATAATGAGGACTTTTGGGGATTCTCGGATTCTAAATTGGCTCGCACAATACAATTTCTAGTGCTAGTGAAAAAGACCATCTGGAGCAGAACTTCTAGGAAAATCTGGAAAGTTGTGTAGCAGGGTTTCATGCTTATCATATTGCAAAATTCTTGCAAGATTTTGAAGCTTGTAAATAATGTGAATATATGTTTAAGAAGCACTGGAAAACAACTGTTAGGCTAATTGGCATAACTTACGAAAAAAGCAGCACCGTAAAGTGCGATTTCTGAAGCTAGCAACTCATATTAGCCAATTATTGGCTTGTTAATCCCTTCCGAAATAAACCTCTATATATATATATATAAAACTCAAAAATTGTCTTTTTGGAGAGTATGTGAGTTATAGAAACGCGCGCCGCTCAACCGATTGGGCTGAAACTTTGCATTCAGATGTTTTCGACCCCGGGGACGGTTTTAGGATACTTTTTACTAAAATTTGCAAACTCCTTTTATCGAATTATCGATTTTTAGCACTTTGCAATGATAGTGAGCTCATACCATTTACTATCAAACCAGCTCTACAGAAATATATGAACATGACCAGCATGTCTCATTTTGATGTTATGTCCATGAGCACTATATTTTATGCAGCGATCGAGTTTAGTGCGCAAGTGATCATTACCGCAGTGTACCGTAGTGCGTGTTTTGTGCAAAGGAATGCTCCACTTACAGTTAAGATCAATACTTCCTTTGTCAGATTCATGAACAATAGTAGGGTCGAGACTCATGAGAAGGGCAAGAATTTGCTGCACTGACAGAAAATCTGAGAATGTTTGAGCGGTTGTTTTATACGATGTAAACATCTACTTACTTAGTCATAGTGAGAAGGAAATATCACCAGAATTAGAAGTCCTGTTGTATCCGAAATCAGCTTCAAGCAGCGTGATGAGCAGAGCGAGTAACCGCTTAGCAGCAAAGCAGCAAAGAATTAAGTTCATTATTGTCAGAGTCATTATGGTACTCATCTCTTCTTTGCATGTCAAACCACAATACAACTTGCTCTGCACAAATTTCAAAGTCGTTCCAGACTACGATTGCGCACATACACTTCGGGGCGGGACAGATGTCGTAGGCTCTTTTCGGTGTCGATCGATATCGATTTTATTGTTGTTTTTTTTTTGAACTACGGAACTGGGAGTTTGTACAGGGGTGAGGGGTAAGTGAACATGCTGATCATGAGTACAAGATTAGTTTTTCGAATCATTTTTCACGTTTATCGACTTTATCGATTTTTTGCAAAGTTTGGGCCATGGGGTTGGGAGGGCACTAAGAGCTCGAGGGCATGCTGATTACGAAAACATAATGAATGGTGGGGACAGGGCCGGCAAATGTGCAAAAAATTGGAAACGGCAATCATCACAATGTTTGACAGGGCCGTGCGGAGCCGGGTATGCCAGCTAGTAATCCATAATGGTTCAAACTTCAATCGCCTACTTACTGCAGTAATGAAAAGCGATTGGTAATATCAGTGATGGTGTATGCTAGGAATCCCTAACGAAATCATACAGAAATGAAACCCGATCGGTGACTACATTCCGCAAAGTTCGAGTTGCACTCACCTCTACAGAATGGTACTTAAAGCTTGGCAAAAAGCTTTGTGAGAAGAGAAATAGTAACAATCAAAAAGTGTCTACATACTTTTGAGACATTAAACGCCGTAACTGCAAAACGACGCGTTTTCGCGCCAACAAGTGTAATTCTAATGTATCTCCGGAACCTGTGAGAGTAAATTTTGTGATTACGACCCCTTACCGTACACCTTTACCTAAAAACGCTTCTTTAACGGATTTTTCTTCCATTACTTCTATATGGGTGTTGGGTATTGGCAACCACCAAAAAGTCGACGCTAAGACTGCTTCGATACCAGCGGGAAAAAGAACAATGGACAATTAGTGGTTGGATTTGTCCAAAAAAGTAAAAATCTTCAACTTGGATGATATGATTATCCTATTATCATTACTTATAATAACGGGCTAGGGATGTTTACGTGACTTTGTGTGTGTGTGTGTGTCTGAGAGTGTGTCTGTTACGAAATTCGTAGAGCGTGTTCCAGCCAACCTCCTGGGCTCAAATTTTGCACAGCGCATGCTACCCGCATGAAACTCCAACATGCAAAAGAACGAGCAGATTCGATGAGTGGATCCCTCAGAAACTGCGTGTCAAACGGATCCACTTTGCGTTTGGGCCGCAAAATTGGGTCCGTAATTCCACTTTTTTCAGAGTCGTGGATGTTTGTGCCAAGTAAATGTGCAAGCCATGAACTTAGGCTCAAAAAAGTGGTCAAAAGTCCATTACTTTACAAGAACGGCGCCAAAAAGTATTGGTTGCGTAAATGGTCAATTTGCCAAGGTTTTACCAGACCATTTGACGAAAATTTTGCACAAAGTTGTAGCTCACGGTGACTGCTCACGGTGCTGTTCTTATTGCAACTGTAAAGGCCATGAGAAAATCAAGAACCTATAAAAATTTGCATTTTTTTCCTGCAAAAAGTCTCATCCACGCGAAATCACCGATTTCCCATACAAAAGCTTTCGGAATGAGTAGTTGTTTACATTTTGTTCGTGATAGTCGGCATTGCTCGGTGAGTTCCAATGCCATCATTATACGAGAATGAGTAGGGCCTAGATAGCAGAGCCTCTGCGAAGCAGAGGTGACGCACTGGTATGTAATAACGCGCTAAGGCCGTCTCTTTTTTTTGTGTGTCTGTCTGTGTGTCTGTGTGAAAATTTGTCTGTCACGAAATTCATAGAGGAAGCTGCAGCTAAGCTATCGGGCTGCAATTTTGCATAACATACCGTGCCAGCGTGTAGGCCCACCATGCGCAAGGACGAGCCGGTTCGATGAACGGGTCCCTCAAAATTTACGCGTCAAACGGGTCCACGCGCCTTTTGGCACGCAAAACTGGGTCGCTAATTCGACTTTTTGCAAAGCTGTGATTTGCCTGACAAGTAACTCTGCGCGCCATGAATTCTAGCCCAAAAAATGCTCAAAAAGTTTGCTTTTTTGCGAAAACAGCGCCAGAAAGTGATGAACGCGTAGATAGTCGATTTGGCACGGTTTTATTTGAAAAAACTGAAAAGATTTTTGCACTATAATGTAGCCCAAGGTGACTATTATCCTTATGACGATTACCAAACTAAAATAAATTCAGTGTAATCCGTTCAAATTCGCATTTGTTTCCATGCAACAAAGTTTTTTTTTCACAAAATTACCGATCTTACATGGAGATGCTTCATGAATGAACAGTTGTTTACGAGTCATTTGTGATGCTCATCATCGCGTGGTGAGTTTCAAAGCCATTCTCATGCGAACATAAGAAAGGCATACGGATAGGGAGCCAGTGCGAACCTCCGCGAAGCGGAGGTGACGCACTGGTTTACAATAATGGGCTAACAAGGGAATGGTCAGAAATCGAAGTGGCCATTCCAGACATGCTGCATACCGTTAGATGCAGCATGAAGCGCGACTCTAAACCTGTCTTCCTTACCTGCTTATCGCTTTTCTGGACGAAGCTATAAGCCATTAAATACCATTATTTTGCTAAGAAATCATGTGTGAAATTGAAAATTTAGCCGTACAGAGCCATGTTCGCCTCAATGCTGGGCCAATACATGCCGCTAGCTTACTCAACATTTTTGAAGCCAGAAGCTGAGCTAAAAGCGCAACAATGTGGTCAATTTCGCTGTTTTTATGTATGATTTTTTCACAATGAAACCGCTTGTAACTTCGTCTACAGATGCGGGAAGCAGATAAGGAAGACAGATTCGAAGTCAGCGTTTTATACTGCATCGAATGATACACAGCTTCTCTGGTTTGGCCACTCCGACTTCTGATGTGTGTGTGTGTGTGTGTGTGTGTGTGTGTGTATGTGTATGTGTATGTGTATGTGTATGTGTATGTGTATGTGTATGTGTATGTGTATGTGTATGTGTATGTGTGTGGATTTGTAGAGAGTGTTCCAGCTAACGTCCTGGGCCAAATTTTGCATGCTAGCAGCATGAAAGCCCACTCTGCAAAAGCGCGGGCGGATTCATTGAGTGAATCCCAAACTGCGCTTAAATAGATTCACTTGGTTTCTGACCAGCAAAATTGGGTCTGTAACACGACTTTTTGTAGAGTCTTGGATGTGCTTGACAAGTAAACGCGCAAGCCACAGATCTAGGCCCAAAAAAGTGATCAAAAGTCTTGAATTTTCAATTCAGTTCAAACTTTTAAAATTCTTTCTTCGAACCCTTCATGGATTGAACTTGCTGCAAAAGCAATAATGCTTTTGTAGAGCTAGATTTGCTCTATCGAACGGTATCCCATACCTCTTTCGGGAATTTGTCTTGTCACGATTCCATGACAAGGAAATAAAATGCGACATTATTTTCTTTCCAACCTAGTACTTGTAAGCAGGTCTCTTACTCAGTCGACAGCTACAAGTGAGATTCCCTCAAATTGTAGAGGTATCTGAAATTCTAAGCTTAACTGCAATATTTCTGTTCTTCTTCTTTTGAAGTAAGCAGAGCACAATTTCACGAGCAACTCATTATCTCATTCATTGCGTTCTGTAGCCGTTTATGATCAGCAATCTTGTCGCGACCTTTTACTTAAAAATGCTCTATCCATGCTACTATGCGCAGCTGTATTTGAGCTTCAAGCTTGGTAACTGAATGACTGTGACAAACTTTGTTGAATGCTTTTGTAAGTAAATAGTAGATAGTGTAGAGTTAATGTACGTAGCTTACACGTTCACGGTGCTAGAATCGATGTTTTCAGGAAAAGCACATATTAGGCTGTAATTCCACAGTCATGTTTGAAGATCTTGCAATATACGACACCTAAACTTGAACAGAATTTGCTTCGCTGAAAGCGATGAGTTTATTATTTCCGTTCACGTTTTTCCCCAGATTTCAAGCACGAGAAGACAAGAGCAAATGCATGTATGTATGTTACTATGATACATAAATGCTGGGTGGTGACCAACTGCTCAGATACTCGCCGGGGAGGCGGCCATGCGAATTTTGAGCAAGCGGGCGCCGGATAGTTCGCTGATTTCATGCGGTCCGCTTGCAGAAAATTGAAAGAATGTTGGCCAATTTTTAGAGGAATGCTCGGAAAAATGTCGTGGTTTTTCTATGGATTAGTTGCGGCACAGTGGCCGCATTCTCGCGGACTTACCGCGAGAATATGCAGAAATATTGAGGGGCGCACGGTCCTTTGTGAAGGACCGCATAACCCGTAGGTAGTACCTTCCGCTGAAAGAAGGTACCTCAAACTTGAGTAATTAAACCATCGATGACACCTCTCCCACATAGAGTCTCATCTTTACTCGGCGTATCCCCGAAACTGCGCTAAAAGAGTCCTAGCGCTTGCTAAAACCTTAGCCAGCGCTCGCTGAAAGAAATTATCTGCCGAGCGCTTGCAGAAAATGCTGTATTCCGCTCGCAGAATATGCGACCGTAAAGGAAGTGCCGCCCGCTGAAGGTTCTGCCACGCCTCAAAATTCCGCTGACCGCCTGCAGAAAAGCGCGAGCATACCTTCGATAGTCTAGAGACAGGGCGCCAAAAGTGAAGATTGTTTGAACATCTGACGTCCTAAATAGTGAAGGTTGTTAAAAAAGATCAGAGAAGAGAAAATGACGTAGAACAGATATAAAAAGCAAAAGAAACTGCTGTAAACCGGATAAAAGCGCTGCAATAAGGTTTGAAGCCCTTCACCTGGCGGCTTTTCAGAGTGCAAGTTTTCGTTCCAGTACCAGCAATTCGCAGCACGAGGTCTTGATTTTTGATGCGTCCTTTGAATTTTCACCCCCTCATTGACGTTCCTGTTTCCTGGGACGTTGTCTGGATTGTTGCGCTTATCAATCTGAGCAACAATCGCCCAAGCTGGAAAAAAATCGCTGCGAAAGCACTGAAATAGAGCAAAGCAAAGAAAAACGCACTTTTCACGGTTTTTGCAGAAAATTTCACCACAATGGAAGAGATAGGGGCTGGGTGGTTGTCTGCATAATGAACAGAAGCAAGATCTATAGAATGCACGAAAAAACCGCATGAAATGAGTTAAACTGGAAAAAAACAAGAGATTTTTGAAAACAAGGTTTTTGCCGGATTTCTTGACCAAATTAAAAAATGTGGTTTTGGGACGTTGTCAGCGTAAAAATAGAGAAAGAGCTTCAAAATGATATATAGCTTTTTGAAATTCGGTTCGAAACAGCGAAGAAAAGGGTACCAGAGCCAAATGCCCCGCGCCCCGCGTATGGGGTAGCGAGGTAGCGCGCAGCGCGCGGAAACGCAGACGAGCAGCGGAGACAGACCAGAGCCGACGGGGCATTTGGCTCTGGTAGTAGATCTCCGCGGGGTCTCAACGAAACCCTGCAAAATTATATATCATTCTGATCGTCATAACACGACGAGGAGAACTGACAACGTCCCAAACTTTGAAAATCACTCACTAACGAGATAAACTGGCGTTTTCGTGCGCGACTCTCTGCGCAAATTTAAGCGCAGTTTCTCGTTTTTATTTGACTCTAACAGCTTTCCTAAACTTCTGAAACTCTATTCTGGTCAAATAAGAGGTTAACTGAGGAATTCTGTCCTGAATTCTGGCGAAAATTTCACAGAAACCTTCTTTTCAACGTGAAAAAGCCCATGAAAACGCAAATTCTATGTATCGCTGAGATAAGCTAAAGATATTATTCCTTATATTTGCTTCATTAACATTCGTTCCGATGTAGTCAGAATAATAACATCCGCGGCTTCGCCCCGAATGACTTCTGTTTTTTTCCAGGAGAAGGTTGTGTTTCCTCATAGCCCTCAAAGTGAAGGTTACCAGAGTACGTGGCTCTATGTATCGAGGGTATGAGCGCGAGTTTGCGGACCGCCTGCCCCCGGCGATTATCTGAGTGCTCAGGGGTACCCGGTAACGGTTTCTGACTTATCGATAAATCTCACAGTGGTCGGTATAATGGCAAGCGAGCAGACTACTCAGATGATCGCCGGGGGCAGGCGGTCCGCAAACTCGCGCTTTTCTGCAAGCGGTCAGCAGAATTTTGGGGCGTGGACAAACCCTCAGCGAGCGGTACTTCCTTTACTGTCTAATGTTCTGCCAACGGGTAGCAGCATAGAACTTTCAGCAGTTACTCGGACTCTTTTTACGCAGTTTCGAGCTTACATCGTCGAGCACAGGTAAGACTCTGTGTGGCAGAGGTGTCACCATTGGTTTAATTACTCAAGTTTGAGGTACTTTCTCTCAGCGGAAAGTACCTGAGGGCTGTGCGGTCTTTCACAAATGACCGTGCGGCCTCCAACAATTTTGCGTGTTCTCGCGGAAAGTCCGCGAGAATGCGGCCACTGCACCGCACTAATTTTTACAAAAACCGCGACTGTTCTCCAAGCGTTCGTCTAAAAATTGGCCAAAATTATTTCAAATTTCTGCAAGCGGGCCGCAAGAAAACAGCGAACTATTTTTCTGGTGCCCCCCGCCCAGAAATCGCATGGCCGCCTGCCCCCCGGCGATTATCTGAGAAAAATACATTTGGGTCACTATTTTATAGAAGTGAGGGCACTACAAAACGACTATTATTTCACCTAGACCTTTGATTCATCTAGAGTTTGAAGCCGAAATGTGTGCGCATTTGACTACGCCGAATATCAGATCATTGCCCGGGGAATTTCTACGAGCTTCCACTCAGATAATCGCCAGGGGCAGGCGGCCATGCGAATGTTGAGCAAGCGGACACCGGAAAAATGTTCGCTGGTTTCTTGCGGTCCGCTTGCAGAAATTTGGAATAATTTTGGCCAATTTTTAGACGAATGCTTGGAGAACAACCGCGGTTTTTGTAAAAATTAGTTGCGGTGCCGTGGCCGCATTCTCGAGGACTCTCCGCGAGATCACGCAAAATTGTTGGAGGCCGCACGGTCATTTGTGAAAGACCGCACAGCCCTCAGGTACTTTCCGCTGAGAGAAAGTACCTCAAACTTAAATAATTAAACCAATGGTGACACCTCTGCCACACAGAGTCTTGCCTGTGCTCGACGATGTAAGCTCGAAACTGCGTAAAAAGAGTCCGAGCAACTGCTGAAAGTTCGGTCAGCGTTTGCTGAAAGCGATTATTTGACGAGCGCCTGCAGAAAGTTCTATGCTGCTACCCGTTGGCAGAACATTAGACAGTAAAGGAAGTACCGCTCGCTGAGGGTTTGGCCACGCCTCAAAATTCTGCTGACCGCTTGCAGAAAAGCGCGAGTTTGCGGACCGCCTGCCCCCGGCGATTATCTGAGTAGTCTGCTCGCTTGCCATTATACCGATCACTGTGAGATTTATCGATAAGTCAGAAACCGTTACCGGGTACCCCTGAGCACTCAGATAATCGCCGGGGGCAGGCGGTCCGCAAACTCGCGCTTTTCTGCAGGCGGTCAGCGGAATTTTGAGGCGTGGCAGAACCTTCAGCGGGCGGCACTTCCTTTACGGTCGCATATTCTGCCAGCGCAATACAGCATTTTCTGCAAGCGCTCGGCAGATAATTTCTTTCAGCGAGCACTGGCTAAGGTTTTAGCAAGCGCTAGGACTCTTTTAGCGCAGTTTCGGGGATACGCCGAGTAAAGATGAGACTCTATGTGGGAGAGGTGTCATCGATGGTTTAATTACTCAAGTTTGAGGTACCTTCTTTCAGCGGGAGGTACTACCTACGGGTTATGCGGTCCTTCACAAAGGACCGTGCGCCCCTCAATATTTCTGCATATTCTCGCGGTAAGTCCGCGAGAATGCGGCCACTGTGCCGCAACTAATCCATAGGAAAACCACGACATTTTTCCGAGCATTCCTCTAAAAATTGGCCAACATTTTTTCAATTTTCTGCAAGCGGACCGCATGAAGTCAGCGAACTATCCGGCGCCCGCTTGCTCAAAATTCGCATGGCCGCCTCCCCGGCGAGTATCTGAGCAGTTGGTCACCACCCAGCATTTATGTATCATAGTAACATACATACATGCATTTGCTCTTGTCTTCTCGTGCTTGAAATCTGGAGAAAAACGTGAACGGAAATAACAAACTCATCGCTTTCAGCGAAGCATATTCTGTTCTAGTTTAGGTGTCGTATACTGCAAGATCTTCAAACATGACTGTGGAATTACAGCCTAATATGTGCTTTTCCCGAAAACATCGATTCTAGCACGTGAACGTGTAAGCTACGTACATTAACTCTACACTATCTACTATTTACTTACAAAAGCATTCAACAAAGTTTGTCACAGTAAATCAGTCACCAAGCTTGAAGCTCAAATACAGCTGCGCATAGTAGCATGGATAGAGCATTTTTGAGTAAAAGGTCGCGACAAGATTGCTGATCATAAACGGCTACAGAACGCAATGAATGAGATAATGAGTTGCTCGTGAAATTGTGCTCTGCTTACTTCAAAAGAAGAAGAACAGAAATATTGCAGTTAAGCTTAGAATTTCAGATACCTCTACAATTTAAGGGAATCTCTTGTAGCTGTCGAGTGAGTAAGAGACTCGAATTCCTGGTTACAAGTACTAGGTTGGAAAGAAAATAACGTCGCATTTTATTTCCTTGTCATGAATCGGACAAGACAAATTCCCGAAAGAGGTATGGGATACCGTTCGATAGAGCAAATCTAGCTCTACAAAAGCATTATTGCTTTTGCAGCAAGTTCAATCCATGAAGGGTTCGAAGAAAGAATTTTAAAAATTTAAACTGAATTGAAAATTCAAAATATATCTATCTCCTTTCAACGAATTTCTATATAGGGACCTCCAACTTGACGAACATACCCCCATCAAACACTTGTATGCACAATTGCAGTAATTTTCTTATGGCCATTGGAAAATCGAAATTTGCATGTTTCTGCCAAAGTGATGCTGGGCTGCGCGTAAGTACTTTTATAATACAGTACAACCGCGGATTTTCAGCCTCCTAATGAGTTAGTTCTCGAGAAATATCAAATTTAGCGTTCTTTCTTCTTTTCTTATAAAATTCGATATTTCTCTAGAATTAACTCTTGTAGAAGGCTGAAAATTCCCGATTGCGATTCTCAAGCTAAGTGGTATAGAATTACTTGCGGAAATAGCCCAGCATCATTTCGGCAGAAATATAAAAATTTGTAATTTTTTATATCTAGCCAAGGAAAAATTCCAGCAACTAGCATATAAATAACTAATGAGGGATGTATGTCCGTGGGCTGAGCAAGTTGGAGGTCCGTAGGAATTTTTCGAACGGAGATACGATTTTTTTTCGATTTTTCGGTCATTCCAAACTTTTTAGATTCCGTTTTCGAACTCCATATAGACTGAACTTTGTGAAAAAGCAGTAGAATCATTTTGTAGAGCTTGCTTTGCTCTGTCGAAATGTATACCGTGCGCGTTTCGGGGATTTGTGTTGCAAATCCATGACAAGGAAATACAAAGCGACATTTCTTTTTTTCAGCTCAAAGGCAGTGTCCAGGCTAAACTTAACCCCCTCCGATTAGTGTCGATCCTGAAAGTAGGCCCCAGAAAAGGGGCATCTTTGGTCCGGTTTTCTAACGTTGTCTTTGAGTGGAGATAAGGGGCCTGAAACTCCCTGGCTGGGCGGAGTCTGATATCAGACTGGGACTGCTCACTACCTTGTCAATACGTGCCTCCCGACACGTATTGACAAGGTAATGAGCAGAAGCTGCACACTGCATACTGCAATGCAACTGCACCCATGCAGTTGCAGCTCCTTCCCGCTGGCCTGCCGACGGGGACGAGCAATTCGAAATTCGTCCGGCCCTTAAGACTGGGTCCCCAAAAATTGGGTTTTTTGTGAATTTTAGAGAGTTTGAAGTTCGGAACTGTAATCAGGGCCACGAAAAGGCCCCAGAATGACAAAAACATGGGGGGCCAAATTCTGGGTGGACGCTACCTTTAATAGGCTTCTGTTTGTCGAGCACTGTAAAGTAGTTGCAGACAAGGCTACAGTAGCAACTTACATCTTATAAAGCTGAATGTCTGTTTGTATGTATGTCTGTATTCGAATAGAAATTTTTATTTCTGAACCGATCCGGACCAAACTTGGCACACATACACTTCGGGCCCCGGCGGGTGTCATAGGCTACTTTTTGTCACCGATCGATATCGATTTTATCGATTTTTATCGATTTCTTTGCAGAGTTCACCTACGGGGCTGGGAGTTGACACAGGGGGGGGGGGGGGTAATCGAGCATGGGGATTCCGAATACAATATTAGTTTTTGGGATTATCGATTATTTTTATCGATTTTTTTGCGAAGCTTGAGCTAGGGGCTGGGAGTTTGCACAGGGGGTAATCAAGCATGGGGATTCCGAGTACAATATTAGTTTTCGGGATTATCGATTACTTTTATCAATTTTATCGATTTTTTGCAAAGTTTGAGCTACGGGGGTGGGAGTTTGCACAGGGAGGTAATCAAGCATGCTGATTACGAGTTCGATATTAGTTTGGCGCTATTCGGCTAACCGGGCCCCAAGATTTTTTTGTCGTAGAGCTTGCTCAGATTCGTGTATAAGGGTTATCTTACATGCTGATTACAGATATCACACTTTCGTCGCAGAAAATCTCCCCATGTGGTTACGATAGGTGTACGGTAGGAAGTCAAAATCATGAATTCGGCTGGAATTCGGCCCAGAGAACTTATTCGACATGCTGATTACGAATTTCATACTCTCTCTCTGCATACTGGAACTTCATAGAGTTAGGATGGTTATATACGGTGTAGGGTCGAAAACATAGATTTGCTTCAAACTTCGTCTAGGGTGGTCATTTAGCGCGCTGAACATTAATATCATGTTGATTTCGTAGGATGGTGCATTTTCTTGGGTTACGGTGGGTATAGATGGGTCGAAGTTCCAGATTTGCTCAAAACCTTACCTGTAACGGTTCACAAGTATACTGCTTATGAATATGAAACTTGCTCGCTGTCATAACGCATTAGGGAAGTTATGGTGAGTTGCAGGATTTGAATGGACAGGGCCAATTTAGATCCCAGATATTCATGAAATGGGGAAATGGTCGTTTTGCATGGCGATCTCCAGCGCCATCCTGATAACCTGTCTCAACGTGTAACGCACGTGGCAAATCTCCCTCTCCCTGATTTGCTTAAGGGCCGGGCATACTTCACGCGATTTCAGTCGCGACGCGATTTGGCAATTTGCCAGAAGTCTTCAGATCCAACAATAGCAAATTGCGCATGCATAGTGTGTATAAGTTACTTAGACTGATAAAACGCCCCATCTTTAGTACACTTAAAATTTGCTTACAATAAGTTATGGGCACTTGGAACATTGCCAAATCGCGTCGCGACTGAAATCGCGTGAAGTATGCCCGGCCCTTTAGGCAAAAGCCGCCGAAGGGTGTATCGCACGCGGCAGTGGTCCTATAAGGAAAGCATTACGGTCGTGGGAAACTTTTATACCACACGAATTGCCTTTATCGCGGGGATTGAGCACTATATTCTTTGAACAGCACTTTAGGTATAGTAGCCCTTACCCCACTAGTCGGTCGGTGGACGAATTCAAATTTGAATTGGAGCAGGCCTGTCACGGCAGAGCGCGGCAGGAGACAACGCTCAGCAATTACAAAAACTCAATATGGGTCAAAAACGTTGTAACAATACAAAAACTGCTAAGCAATGCCGAAGAAATACGCAAGTGAATGCGTGAATTTGAACGGAGAGCTAAGGTGCCGTGCTCTGCCGCGACCTGCCTGCTCCAGTTCGAATTCGAATTCGTCCACCGACCGACTAGTGGGGTGAGGACGACTATAATTCCCTGCCAACGTTTCAGGCAGGTTTATGATTTTTACCCGCTGCCACGTGATGACTATGATATTGTCATCAGCGGCTCAAATAACCCCCATATACCGGGGAACAACATCCGTCACAAAAACATTTTGGGGCCCGGATAGCCGAATAACGCCATCAGTTTTTAGAATTATCCTTACTTTTATCGATTTTATTATTTTTTTGTGCAAAGTTTGAGCTACGGGGCTGAGGGGTTGGTGAGGAAGGTAGGTGAGCATACCGAATACTCACGCACCGGGAATAGGTAATGTAGAAGTGGGCACAGGTAAAGGTGTACAGGGATAGAAATGGAACCTTTATCGTTTTTGACAGGGCCAGGCGGAGCCGGGTAAGCTAGTATTATATAGAGAACTATCATGCAACTATGTAAGCAATCTTATATATAAAGCTGAATGTCTGTTTGTATGTATGTATGTCTGTCTGTATGTCTGTCTGTGTGTACCCTCGATATCATCCCATATGTCTTCCCTCAACATGACGTGGATTACGTGGCTTGATGAGGCGCCGCCTCGCCTCGGGCTTGCGCCACGTTGCGTGCGCATTTTCGGCGTGATGTGGCAACAAGAAGAACGTGGAAAAGCCTGCGCCACGTTGTGTTGAGCGCCACGTCGCGCCAAATGATGCGCTCGCAACGTGGCGCGAGCCCGAGGCGAGGCGGCGCCTCATCAAGCCACGTAATCCACGTCATGTTGAGGGAAGACATATGGGATGATATTGAGGTTACGTATGTTCCGAATAGAAAATTCCATTTCTGAACCGATCCGGACCAAACTTGGCACACATACACTTCGGGCCCCGGCGGGTGTCATAGGCTACTTTTCGTCACCGATCGATATCGATTTTATCGATTTTTATCGAATTTTTTGCTGAGTTCACCTACGGGGTTGGGAGTTGGCACAGAGGGGTAATCGAGCATGGGGATTCCGAATACAATATTGGTTTTCGGGATTATCGATTACTTTTATCGATTTTATCGATTTTTTTGCAAAGTTTGAGCTAGGGGGCTGGGAGTTGGCACAGGGGGGTAATCGAGCATGCTGATCATCCCCAAGGGGGGTGATCAGCATGCTCGATTACACCCCTGTGCCAAATTCCAGCCCCCTAGCTCAAATTTTCAAAAAATCGATAAAATCGATAAAAGTAATGGACGATCTTGAAAACTAATATTGTATTCGTAATCTGCATGCTCGATTACCCCTGTGCAAACTCCCAGCCCCGCAGGTCAAACTTTACAAAAAAATCGATAAAATCGATAAAAGTAATGGACGATCCTGAAAACTAATATTGTGTTCGTAATCAGCATGCTCGATTACCCCCTGTGCAAAATCCCAGCCTCGCATGTCAAAATTTACAAAAAATCGATAAAATCAATAAAAGTAATCGATAATTCTGAAAACTAATATTGTATTCGGAATCCCCATGCTCACTTCCCCCCTGTGCCAACTCCTAGCCCTGTAGGTGAACTCTGCAAAAAAATCGATAAAAATCGGTAAAATCGACATCGATCGATAACGAAAAGTGGACTGTGACACCCGCCGGGGCCCGAAGTGTATGTGTGCCAAGTTTGGTCCGGATACGGCGGAGCCGGGTAAGCCAGCTAGTTAGCTATATAAAAAACTCTTAAAAGTTTTAAATACAAAAAACATCATGATTTGGTGTAATATTGGGTACGATCAGATGTCAAGCAACCAAGAATGCAAATCTATGGCTACTTGTGACCTGGGGTTATCATTTTTTACTCATAGAAGCAGAGGAATTCGGTCTCATCATTGTGCACACGTATTTGGACAATGCGAACTGACCCGAATTTTGTCTGCGACTAGATTTTCTGATATTAGATGTGGTTTTCAAATGTGTTACCAAAGACTAGGCTAAACGTGTAAAGACACTTCTCCACATTTCAGTGCTCATAAAGGCAGTGTTTCGGCAAGTTTTCGCTCTTCGCTTTTATGGAGCCTTTTCGCTCTGTTTAACCCATACCTGGGCTTTGCAGCGCGTGAACATGGCAGAAAAGAGTATTTTTGATGCTTTCCATGTCCTCATTGGCTGAAAACAAGGGGAAAGGGGGTCCGGAAAGCTTCCGGATTGAATTCTCGGCTTTCCAGAAGCGCTTTTCCGTTCAGACTCCACTGATGGACTAGTTAGGGGGGGGGGGGGAGGTCTGCCATCGCAATGCTGTAAAATCCCGGTACCCATCATTTTGACAGGACACGGATGCGGTGCAGGAGGAACCAAAGGCCTGCCGCCGTAGCCGTAGGAGATAATTAGGAACGCGAGCGCTGTGGAGAAGATTGGCGAGGATCCAAGAAAACTTGGCAAGGGCTCTATCAGAATGAAACCCTTATAACTCTTCTTGGAATTAACTTTCAAGGATACGAAGGAGAGATTTGGAATCAGTATTGAAATGCGCATTTTTCAGTAATACGCCTAGCGAGTAGATGAAACTCTGTCTTGCTACTCGAGTTCTATTTTTACCAAAAACTGAGCCTTCAATTCACCATTAAAAACTTAAGAATTTCAAGTTCAGTGTTGTGTGAGAGATTTTGAGTGAGGTTCTTAGTGAAGTTTCTGGATTCGAAGTTGAAAGTAGGGAGTTCCAATAGGAAATAATGTTAGCTAATTGTAAGTTGCATATGATGAAATTTTGCTATTGTGTACAGCCTCGAAAGGATTACCACAGTTTCAATGGCAAATCCTTTAATACTCTAGTGTCAAAATTTAGAGTTAGCAAACTGCATATTGCATTTTGACACAAGCCTCCGGATGTGTTTTAATGACCTTTTGATTGCTTTGGTTCATTGACACAAAAGGGCAAACTACTTCTTACAAGGCAAACTATTGCTTGTCTCAAAGAAAAAGAATGAATTTGAGAATTCCGATCTTCAACAGTTTGAAACTTCAAAATTCACAAAACAAAAAGTTTCTATAAGAAAGCTAAATTTTCATACCACTACAACTCCTAATTTTAACTTACTTTTAGGCCCAGCGAATGCGCCTTCCAATTTGCATTACAAATCTGTTCTCTAAATTTTTTAAAGTCATTTCCAAGCAAAGTTATGAAGATTGCTCCCAAAGGATGCCCTTGCCAAGTTTTCTTGGATCCTCGCCAATACCTTTTCCACAGCGCTCGCGCTCCTAATCATCTCCTGCGGATACAGGCGGCAGCCCTTTGGTTCCTCCTGCACCACCCCCACAGGACACTGCCTATAATATAGACATACTTCATGAGAAAAGAGATGTTCACAGCTGAATTCACATTGCTCACAAAAGCTTCGAGAGGCTGCGTATAATCACACTAACACTTCCAGTAATTGTTGTGTCAACTGTTTTTATCGTTGTTGTTTGTCACTTGCGGGAAACTTGGTCCAAAGTGCTCGAACCAAACAGAGCCTTTCAAAATGATACAAATCTCGCTCTCCTTTACAGCCAAACAAATTCCTCATTACTTGATCTAAATACTCGACCACAGAATCTTCGCCAGAACAGTGGCCAATAGGATTGTACTATTGACCGCGGCATATCTTTCATACTGTAGAGCCAGACCTCCGCAACTACATAACATGCCGCCAAAACAACGCATGACACGCTGTAATAAACAAAAGTGCCTCTGGAAGACTTTGTTTTTGGTCCATCTTCACGAGATTTATGCTGTCACAGTAGAGTCGTGATTCTTTGTATTGCCAGTTACTTATTCGATTGCCTTAGACTTATAAGTCTTGTATCTAAAGGCATTGGTAGTCATCTAATGGTATTCCAACTCATTCCTTCCACTCTGTTCGATTAACAGTGCATGAATCATTGTACATACGTCATTTTTCTAATCCTTTAAAGGCGAATTGATAATGTCTGTCACTCATCTTTGGGTTTCTTCATGAAACCACTTGATCCCTTTATTTTCTCGCGATATGCTTGTGATGAACGAAGCTTACATTTTGAGGTAGACTCCATGTCAGGGAAGAAAAAGGGAGCGAAAAAGGTATGTTCAAATATGTTTCACATACTGCTTTGTTTTTATGTTTACAACATTTTTGGCTTATTTGACTGTTATCGAAGTCAGCTTATATATGTACTGGCCGCTTTTGAATGGGGAGTTTGCTCTCAGCCTTTGATGCTCATCGAGTGAATATTACTTCTGTCACTCAGAGAAAATCCTCTGGAAATTCTTTGAACGCCATCTGGTGTCGTTACTGTTCACGTAATCTATCTGATTGATCTTGTCTACTGGGAAAGTAGCTGAAGGATTTGTGTATAACACGAAATGTGACTTGTATGAGGGATCAGGCTCAAAATGCTGTTTCAAGTAAGCATTTGCGCGAAACAATGCGTGAAGTCTATTGCCAAGCGAACTATATCTCGGATGGTTAACTATCTCAAAAGCACTTTCTTGTCGGTTGTCCTCAATCCTTCTGTCAAACAATCTCGCTTTCTAGATTGTAATCGGTACATTTTCCTTTTTCGAGATGCCGTCGATGTGCCGCCATATTTATCTTAATGCGTGAAGTCTGCCGATGATGCACTTTAGCGTGCCTTGCCGCGTCACTTTTGCGTACGTTGCATGTACGATAGAATACGGGAATATTGGTACACTATAACTACTGAGTTTGGCAGCATCTTTACAGTGGCAGCATAGCTACCCGGTTGGACGGGGAGTATCTGTATGCAGTTAAGCTCATGCTAGCGGCGAACGCTTTCCAGGAGCGGGGAAGGGGGGGGGGGGGGGAAGAGGCGAGAATATTCAGCTCAATAGATTAGGCGCCGTTTCTACGGATGCTGGTCCTCACGGTATGTAATAGCATAGATAGGCGCCAGATTACACGATCGTCTTGCAAGATGCAGCGCAGTCACTGGCATTTGGTATCATGTTGAAGGCAAACTAAGTCGGCTTGTGCGAAAACGTTATAACAAAATTTTTTCGCCAAGGCCTTTTTATCATTCTCTCATATTGCCGAGCTTTTTCATCATCTTTCCAAAACTACAGCTGTTGCGAATATCGCACACGCCACTCCGATTTCCGTCCAACGTGACGCCAATGACATCAGTTTACTGATTGCGCCGCATTCTACTGAAGCAGGGGTGTAGGGCGTTAGGCGACAAACCCAATTTTTTGGACCCCAAGGAACTCCCCGTGCAAAACCTCTCCTCCGCCAAAAACAGGGGGGGGGGGTCGGGGTCGATACATTACCCGACGCCAATGAAAAAATGGTGCATAGTTTTGAGTTACGGGATTTACGTTGCTTGCGTTTTGCACGTTTTGTCGCCTAACGCTTGCCCTCTCTGAAGCAGGCAATCGGTCAGTCTGGCGTCTGCCATAGTAGTAATATCATACGAAAGGATCAGCAGTCCTCGAGGAGGCTCCTAATGATAAATTTTCCCTGCTCCTTCCCTGGTCTTCCCACCCCCTCCCCTCTCCTCTACCCCTTTGCTTTTGGTCAGCGCAAATATATCAGAGCAGGTAATGCTCACGACCACTGGTTATGCTGAAGGACTTTCAATTCCTTATCGCCAGAGTGTGAGATTTGAGTGTTATGTATGTTTTGAATGTACCTAGATACCTTGACTTAGGAGGCGTTTGGTCATCGCTTTTGCAGTTTGACGACCAAGACTTTTAGAGACTAGTTTCTCAGAATCTGTGTACTTTGTTGATTAAACTTTCTGCTCCATTTTTTCACATCGAAGTTCCAGGAAGTAAGTGAAGAGCGTACTCCTTCTAAGGAGCAAGATGCTGTTGCACGATATGTCCGCTTCAACTGTCCTACAAACACCACCATGTTTGAAGGCAATGAAGTCGATTATTTCACTGGTGAGACTTCTCTATAGACTTGCTGCGCCAGTTTTGTCCTTTCTGTTTTCACCATATAATTTTTTCTGTTTAGGCTCGAAAGCAGTAGACACGCTCATGGAGTCGAAATATGGTGCTAAGGCTAAGAATGAGGCTACAACTTTGTTCCCGAATAGGTGGAGTAAAATTTTTCCACTAAATATTGTTGATGACTTTGTTGTTTTCAAGAGAAGCTGCTGTAAAATACATGCGTGATTTAATGGAGTTCGAAATGTTTTTCCGTGCTCGTAAATTAGTACCGAAAAAGAAGGAGGACAAGGAGAAAAAGGAGGACAAAGACAAAAAGGAGAAAGGTGCTTATGTCAGGTCTTACGGCCTTTCCTAAATTTCATCTGTTTTGTTTGAGACGCTGGTAAATCGCCGAAGGCTGAAAAAAGAGAAAAGAAGAAGAAGGAAGATGAAACAGTTACCGAAACAGAGGCGGAAGATAAGAAAGATGAGAAGAAAGTTGAAAAGAAGGTGGGTTTTCGAAGTTCTTCGTAGCAGGTCACTTCGGAAGATTTTGCTCACCAAGTCTGAGTTTACGCCTAATTTCGCAACAGAAAAACAACTGAATTAAATCCAAGTTACTGAGGCAGTACAACTTTCTTTTTGTAGTTTCCATGTTCGTGACCACCATCGTCGGAGAGAATTCAATCAATACAGATACACATTAGATGAAGCAAAGTTCAGGCATTGCTCAAGAATTTCTTCAGGATCTATGTACATCCCAATCGAGTTTTGACCATGAATCGCTGCGAAATTTCTAATTTTTGTTGATTTGTGTAAAAAAAATTGTACAGATGAAAAAACCTTGCGAGTTTTATTCGTGTCGAGTGATTTACCGACTATCGTCAGACCATGCACAGACCATGCATGTTTTTTCCAGCTGTTCTGTCGCGTTTTGGCCCAACATTTGAGAAATATAAAATTTTAATATCAAATGAAGTGCTTTTGTAACTGGTAACAAATGTGTTCGTACTCATGTAAAACACACACAACCTCATCTTTCACAGGCAAAATAAATTTTCACTCATTCTAGTGGTTAGAAGTGCTCAAAAACAAAACCTAAAAGCTGTTGTAGTGATCTGACACTTTCGAGTCGTTTTGCTGCGGTGCTCAGACAATATCGAGATTTTTCAAGCTTTTACTTATTATTTCGTTATTTTCAGGAGGAAGAAGAGAAGAAGAAAAAGAAAAGGATTAAATTAGAAGTGCACGATGTTCAGGTACAGATTTATATAATAGCAATCCCCGACCACTTTATAACTCATTGCACTAGGTCTTTAACGATGATAAAGACGTATACGTTTGGATTTTCGACCCGACACCGCTTTACAAAAAAGTGATAGGCTTGTTGATGGGTAAGTCTATTTTTTAATTTTATCAGTTAATTCTGTTTGTTTCATGGATTTTAATTTCCATGATCACCTACACTTTTGCAGATTCCTTTTAAGTAAATGTGGGCAACAAATTTGTAGGTTCCATCTCAAGCAACATTGCTTTGACTAAAAAATAGGGAACGAACTTTGTCATTTTCTGTTCCTTTCCTGTGAAATATGGAACCTGTTTTTGAGGTGCAACAAACTTCGTTGTGAATATCTATTTCGCATTTGGGGTTTTTGCAACTTTGGGGAAATGTCGCCAGCGGACACCGACAGTAGCTTTACGTCACGAATTTACGAACTAACCCTTTTTCTGTAACCTGCGGATCACTGAAGATAAAGTGTGCTGATGCGAAAAATTTTCTTACAAACGAGACACATATCCTTTACGGAAGGGTACAAATTTGCAGCACTATTGCCTTTTTTCAGTGATTGGTACTATTGTTGGCTGCCTCTTCCCTCTTTGGCCCATGTGGCTGCGACAAGGCGTTTATTATCTCTCATTAGCTGGCATAGGAGTCTTTGGTCTCATTGTTACGGTTGCCATCTGTGAGTTCACTAAGCGTCTTTAACGGGTCACTCAACGATCACGTTGCAGTACGTTCTATCTTATTTGGAATTATATGGTTAGTTACGTTGGGCGAACACAACCTTTGGATCCTACCCAACTTGACAGAGGTGAGCACTTCTCTTTCCTTGGATTTGTGCTTCAGTTTGCTCTTTCTGGCCGTGACCTTTTTGAAAAGCGAAAAGTTACAATTCAAAAAGCTGAATGTTTGTTTACTTGTTTGTGTGTGTGTTTACGCATGGTGCATCCCTCAGAATTGTTCCCATACGAATCATCAACGTGGCTGTCCTTCGATCGTTTTGACATGTCAACTTTGAATAAGCGCCTTAAGTCTGCTGGAGTTAACGTGTTAAAACAATCGAAAGGCAGCCATGCTGATGATTCATATAGGAACAGTTCTGGGGGATGCACACTATGTTCCGAACAGAAAATTTACTTGGTCCTATCCGGACCAAACTTTGCGCACATATCTACATCTCGTGTGGGGCGAGTGTCATAGACTACTTTTCTTCATCAATCGATATCGATTTCATCGTTTATCGATTTTTGCTACGTTCGATCTACGGTGCTGGAAGTTGGCACAAGGGGCAAGCGAGCATGCTGATTACAATACAATATTAGTTTTCAAAATTACCCCTTACTTTTATCAATTTCATCGATTTTGTGCATAGTTCGACCTCGGGGCTGGTATTTGGCGCAGTGTGTCTACGTGAGCGTTGATTACTAATACAACGGGAATAGGGATTTGGCATGTAAAAGTGGGCACAGGAAAAGCTTGTACGTGGATAAGGATGGGGCCTTTATCATAGTAACTTGACAGAGCCGGGTGGAGTCGGGTGAGCCAGCTAGTGTAATGTATAAGGCGCTCCAAGTTAATGTACCAATTCTGTTCTTACAATTAACTGTTAATCCTTAGACTGTTCGATCTTGCGGCCATAATCTTGCCTAATCAAAGTTGCGCTGCTAAGTGCCTGTGGCTATGGCGACATTCCGCCGAAATTAACGTTTTTAAAGGAGACTTTTCAACTATAAAAAAACTGGTTCTAGGATAGGTAGGTGCCAGAGTAAGCGAATATTTTGTTCAAGTTGGGGTCCCGCGCAGAACTGGCGTTACCAATCATTGTGGCACAACGCCAAGTTGGCATTATGCCACAATGATTAGTGATGCCAGTTCTGCGCGGGACCCCAACTTGAACAAAATATTCGCTTACTCTGGCACCTACCATAGTGGTTCGAATAATGACTGGCTTTGTGATCCAGTTATAAATAAGAACTGCCGGTAGGCCCTGGTCTGCGGACAAATGGTCCTCTTGCAACATGGTGTGGCGTATGTGCGTGCAAAGAACCATTAGCCCACGGAGGTGGAGTTTGTGGGTGTGATTATTTTGTTCCTAGAGAGGGAGAAATCGCAAAAGCGGTGCCCACATTCACAAGCAAAGTCTACAATGCGTTCGTTTTTTTTTTTTTGATATCGCGCATTCATTGGTTTGCTTAAACCTCTTGAGGAGCAGTCGATCTTTGGCAAGGATGATCCCATAATTCCAGGATTGTGGTTTCTTTGAGTCATTCCAACCATGGTACACCTATGAATACTGCCCTCGAGATAAGAGTAAGGGTAAGGACAAAGAGAAGAAAAAGAAGAAGAAGAAGGATAAGGATAGCGGTGAGTAAAAACTTTGCATTAAGGCTCACAATAAGTTGTACATGGTGATGCACATGAAGTGTGACAGGCTGCGCAATATTCATTTTTGGTCTATTTCATGTCATGTGCTGACGATAGTCGTCTTCTTCATAATTTTTTATCCCTATGGCTACTGGCTACACCTTGATTGGAGTTGATTTACCACAAAAATTTGTTAGCCTAGTTGCTATGAAAACCGCAAACGCAAGTTTTTGAGATTCCGCAGAAACCATCGGAAGTAAGCTTTGAAAGGCTTTTTCTTGGGTCAAAGCAAATATTATGAACGCTGTCTGGGATTTTTAGCAGGAATAGATACCAATCCACAGCAAAAAAAAAATAAATGCAGATGTTTGAAATTCAACGGACATCAGGAAAATGTTTGCTCTTCTAACTCACCCATTAGCCCCATGGTTTTCAAAATCCATGTCTCTCAATTTGCTAAAAAGAGACCTGATGAGGACTTGGGACCAAAAATCATATTACGCGCACATAAAGGAATTTTGGAAACGAAGAGGAGGATATCTTGAAAGTTTTTATCAGATCATATATTTTCTTGTCTATCAGAAGAGGACAAAAGCTTGCAGTTATAGACAACCCTGTATGTAATGTGTTTCAAAACTGGATGTTTTTAGATGAGGAGAACGACGATGCCGCTAAACAAGATAAAGGCAAGGAAAATGAAGAGGCTGACGCAAATGAAAATACTAATCACGCTAGTCATAGTGAATCCGAGGTTTCTGCAAGCGAGGTACGATCTTCGTCATTTATCAGCTATCATGAAGGTTGTTCTTAAGAACGGCTCTTCTGTGCCCGCTTCTCCAGAAGGCGAAGTGAAAAAAAGACGTCCACGGCGGGCGGACGCTGACTACGTCATTGTAAAGAAGTAGCTCTATTGGCTGAGTATCATGATGATTTCTTTCATGCATAACTTCATTATTCACTTTCTTTTTTTGCCTATGTGTAATACTCATTCGGCTGTCTATCTCGATCTAATACTATCACGGTACAATTCATTAATAACCTGCTTATGCTAATAGTATGGAAGCTCTGGTCGCTGAGTGTGATCATCACTTTTTGAAGGTTTCTCCATTCTTGTCGTTACGTGAAGTTGTTGCATTCGTCTGTTGGTACTAAGTACGGTGTTGGTATCATTTCATCATTTCTTACTTGTTTGTATCAGTTGTTTCGGTTTTAGAAATCTATGGGAAGGGAAACAAAGCTCTTCTTTCGTTGAATCTGTTTTCGCTATATACTTCGTCATTGTGCTTTTCTGATTCTACGGTGGCTGGTGATGATTGCTTTGGTCAGAACATGAATGGGTCATGCCCTACACGGAGTCCGTTACTATTGAGGAGAGCACTTACCATTTGGGCTAGTGTAGAACTTTCCGAATCATTGTCAATGTGCCCTTTGATTCAGCGGGAGTGGCGGCTGGAAGGCGACCGTTTGCACCGACCGCGACGCAGTCTGTGCCTCTCTCGCAAGCGTCTCTTGTCATTCCCTAGCCCTGATCAGCTTCGACGCCCAGCATTCCAGCCGCCAATCCCTTGAATCAAAGTGTATAGGCTATTACCTCACGCACAGACTGGACGCTTTTGCGCCCAACTGAGATACTTCGTGCCTTAACACACTGACGACAATGCGATCCACCGGTGGGTCGTAAGATTCATGAAGCGTATCATTGCCAGTTTACGACGGAATTCTACGGGGTTCTGGCACATGATTGGGGGCACTTAGGTGAAGCTCCAGCCAGAGTGGTCCGGGCTCGGGATACTGTAATGTAATGTTACGGTGGGTATACGGTTGACATGTCCAAGGCACAAGCTTTCAGCTCAACGCAAAATGATGCTGTTTCTGTAGAGTCAAGTTTACATGTAAGAGCAATACGGGGTGGCCAAGAGGCTGACGCTAGCCCACCAACAAATTATCGATTTTATTGATTTTTTGCCATTTCCATCCTAGGAAGCTCGAACTTTGCATATCTAGGTTTTGTAGCATGCTAATTACAAAAATGGTAATCTCAAGCTTTGATACCACCTTCTTACATCAGTTTCTTGATTTCTATGAAAATCCTACCGTACTGCCGTAGTCCCATGTGGGAAAGTAGTGAACAAAGCGGACACTATAATCGTGATCAGCACGTGAAATAACCCCAAAACACAATTTTGCATAAAAATCTATGATGTTGAGTTCATACAGAGTGACTACCGTAACCCTTACCGTATACTTCCAAACTTACTTAGATACTTAGATGGCCCGTCCTCACGTGACGTGCGGGCCCCAGTACAGAAGTCGCCAGTTTTCCCTGTCCCTCGCTTCAGACATCCACGATCTTCTTGGCCGTCGTCGGTGGCTGCGTCCACGAGTTCCAGGGGCGAAAGTCGTATCCAGCTGATAGCTGGTCCATCCGTTCCACGAACGTCTGCCCATCTCGTTGGTGGTCTTCCTCGAGGACGTTTGGCTTCGCGAGGAATCCACTCCGATGTTCTTAGTGTCCATCTGTCGTCTGTTCTTCTCATTATGTGACCGACCCATCGGTGTTTGGCTTTCGCGACGTATTCCGCTGGGTCACGAAGACGGGACATTCTTCTCATATCCGTGCTGCGAAGTCCGACTAGATCTTGCTTGCGTCGGGTCGTCTTCAGAAGACTGCGCTCGAGCGCTCTGTGGGTGGTCCGTAAAGCTTTCGACGTGGCTACAGTGTCTCAGCTGCGTAACAGAGCGCCGGGAGAACGGTTGAGTCGAACAGGTGGGCACGAAGCTCCGGGTCCGTCAGTTGGTCGTTGGCTTCCTTCAGAGGCCCGAAGGCGGCCCAGGCTGCTCTTCTTCTGTTAAGTTCTTCCTTCAAGTCGTTCTCCATGTTCATCGAACGTCCGAGATACACGTAGGAAGACGTCTCCATAATCGGGGTGCCTTCCAATTCCATTTCTGCATCTTCGCAAAGGGCGTTCTTCATGAACTGAGTCTTCTTCCGATTTATTCGCAGTCCGATCTTCTTCCCTACTTCGTTTAGTTCCTTCAGCATCGTCTCTGCTTCGGTGATACTGCTCGAGAAGAGAACGATGTCGTCCGCAAAACGAAGGTTGGACAGGAATCTCCCATCAACTCGTATGCCTTTCTCGTCCCAGTCCAGTGACTTCATCACCCACTGCAAGGCCGCGGTGAACAGCTTCGGCGAGATTGTGTCGCCTTGTCGGACCCCCTTTCCGATTGGTATGGTCAGGGGGCGATGGAAGAGGCTATATCGTCGTTATACAGTCCTTATAGCAGTCGGGTCTTCACATAAGCTGAGTCCACTCCTTGATCAACTAGCGCAGACAGGATGGCGTTGGTTTCGACGCTGTCGAAGGCTTTCTCATAGTCGACGAAGGTCAGGACGACAGACAGTCGGTACTCCCGGCAGACTTCTATGACCCTCGAAACGGTGTGGATGTGGTCCATGCAGCTGAATCCTTTGCGAAATCAGCTTGTTCTTGGGGTTGGGCTTCATCCAGTGTCCTTGATTTGCGAGCGAGGATAATCTTCGTGAAAAGCTTGTACAGCACACTCAGCAAGCATATTGGACGGTAGTTCCGAAGATCCTCCCGTTCACCCTTCTTTAAGAGAAGGACGGTTCTTAACGTTTTCCACTGGTCGGGAATCTTCTCCTTCTGAAGGTAAGATGTCAAATGCGACGCTAGAATCTCGTGTAGACGGTGTCCTCCGGCTCGCAGAAGTTCGACGGAAAGATGATCTGGTCTTGGAGCCGTGGACGTCTTAATGGTCTGTATCGCGATACGCACTTCAGCAGGTAGAATTCGTGGTGGTACTTCTCCAGTGGGAACAACTGGCATCTGCACGGGTGTTGATGAGCGGCCATCTTGTATCGGGAAGAAGTCGGAGTCCCGTCTTCGTGCAAATAGTGCAGCCAGCGGCACGTGATATTCGCAGAGGTCCCTTCGGCACTTCTTGAGACTTCGTCATCTTTCGGCTGCTTCCAGTATCTTGTATACTGTAGTAAGTATACTTCCAGAGCTGAAATAAATGATGTTTTGATAATCAGCGCGTTCGATAACCCTTCCGGAGAAATCCGGAGACATGTTTTGAACTTCTTCCAAAAAGACTACCATTTTGGACAATACGACCCACGGGTGGGTCGTAAGTTTGGCAGAGCAAAAAAGGCTCTTTTCCGAAATGGCAGTAATCGAAAAATCGGCCTTGTCATCAATGTGTTAAAGAGACAGCAGACGCAAAGGAATAAAGGAGCGCTCAATCAGTAAGACGCAGACATCCGCAGAAAAAAACCTCTTTGCGTGTGATGAATCGCCCATATGTCCTCTACCTGCATTACTGATTTTGACTTGTGTACACCGCCTATTCTAGCTGCACATGCTTTAGAAATAAGCATTACGAACATTATCGTGTATGCCTCTTGAGTAGGCGGAATTCTAGTAAGGCAAAGCGTTGTCTCTATCAGGATTAGCAACTGCTTCGTTTCAGAATCTTAGCAGATCGCCTTGTAGCAATTTATAGCATGAAGTTTATAACCTTTTCTACTCCACTTTCATTAGGTTGGTGTGAATTTTGCACATCATAGCAAACGCCCTCTTACACGTACAAATCCGAACTTCGAGGGGCATCCACTTCTAAATTTTTTCAGAGGTTTTGCTTTTGGCTCCAAATGTTTACGCAACTACAATTCTTAATCTATTCATAATCTGGTAGAAAGACCTTCCAGGACAATGGAAATATCGGCTCTCATCCAAATTCCCAGACCCGAACTATTTAAAGTAATTTGCAACACTCTTGAGGAAGATGTAGCTTCAAAGAATGGACTGTGTCGTTGATTGCCCTTTCAACTATAATAGCTCACTTGGAAGTTTGAGCATAGAGAATGCAATTTTGAAGTGTTTACACGTCTACGTCATACCGGCATATAGCGTGTCCTAAAAGTCATCGTCACGATTTTATGTGTGAACCTTACACACTTTTTCATTGTTGACTTTCTTCCCACAAAGTTCTTTGTTTATCTTCAACACCATTCGGTAGAGCAGGCTACAGCGTCGATTTATAGTATGGAGTGAATCAACCACCGCTCTTCGTTACTGTTGTATATATTAAGGTAGGAACTTCCAGCATAGAGCCGCATTGTGAAATAGGCCTTATATAGAGGTTTAAAAAATCTGGAAAGTGTGTAGCAGGCGGTTTTCAGACATTAGACAACTTTTTCGAGGATTACGCATTCCAAATGGTGCAATTACATTTTTGGACATTCAACAAATTGGTCGCAGTTTACCTGGAATCTTAAGAAGAACTCTTATGGCAGATTGAAATTTCATATTCATATTTAGCTTCCCAGATCAGAATGATGAAGTCCAGCTTGCTGAGTTAATGTGGAGCAATATGTAGCCATTAATGGCTTCAAACCCTCTTCAAATTTTCTAGCTTAACCCTAAGTAACGAGGAGCGATGTTTATTTATTTATTTATTTGATACGTAAGAGGCGTGCCACTTCTAAAACAATCAAGAAAGCACCTAAAACATGGTCGGTAACGAAGAGACGACAAAACAGCAAGAAAATAATTCATAGCATCAGTTCAAGTTCAGCCCGAATATTTAATGGAGGAGTAAGGGACTGAGTTTGTGTAGACCATGTATGTATCTTATCAGTGTAGAGGATCAATGAAGTCTGTCCCATGCGTTCTGCTTGCAGCAAAAGCGCTTTTTATTTTCAACATGAGCAACTGTAAGTGGAAGCGGGTATATCAAGACGAATTGACAAAAGACCAACATTTCTGAGGTTAACAGAAGACGATGTAGAAGATATTGCACAAGCTATTCCCAAAGAACGGAAGGGATGAGCCAGACCCAAACTGGACGGAGTAGATATGTTGGAAACGCCGACTGAGAATTCTTAAAGGCATCGTCTACCCAAAGTTAGGGTTGATGAGATTATTATGGCATACTAGCGTGGCCCCCCACATTAGGCAACTCCCCAAGTTGCGTAGCAAGAGATTGCTTCCAGAGCAAAAATCCTCGGAAGGGACTTAATCCGGTGCTGGTCACTCCGCCCAGCTGATCACCCCGCCCACTTTGCAGGTTTGTAAATGGCACTCGGCAATGTCAGCGCCGCAGCCCCGCGACTTGCATTGCAACCGTCCCCACTTGTTCTCCAAAACGAGGGCTCTTGGGGGTTCCGTGGATTCTCGACTCCATATTTGCAATCAGGGCCTTCAAGGCCTAGAAGCGACAAAAACATGGAAGTGAGGATTTGGGTGGACGGTGCCTTTAAGCTAAACATATTAGTGCAGCCCATTGGCGTATCGAGGATTTGAAATTTACTTACATGATTAGTAAAAATGTGCTAGTGATTTGTTTACACCTGTAAATAATAAAAATATTAGGTTAGTCCGAAAGTTCTGTCCCACCAATTTCAAAAAATTATAACTTCCTTCTAACTGATGTTTTTGCATTTCTAAAACTTGTTGAAAAGAGCAACTCATGCGCTTTCTAGACACATCTTGGCTGCTATCTACTATGCTATAAAATCCACAACAGCCATTATCCTAGACTTTCTGAACCCCTCTTTCTTGCTGATTAAAATGTGCGTTGATACAGTTGTTATTTTGAAAATTATGATTTTTTGAAGAAAATGTCAAAAAATCAATTTTCTCAAGAAACTGATTTTTTGGCATTTTTTCTTGAAAATCGTAACTTTTCTGGGAAGAGCTCCATCAGTGCAAATTTTGCTCAAATAGAAAGAGGGGGTCAGAAAACCTAGGTTAATGACTGTTTTGGATTTTATGGCACAGTTTCAGATTTTTTAACGGGCTTGCTTAAAAATTCCGAACTTGAAGTGATTTCCTTTTCCCAATTTTATCTCTGCATTTAGAGCTTATTATATAGCAAGATGTTTCTAGAAAGCGCATGAGTTGCTCTTTTCAACGAGGTTTTAGTCATGCAAAAACATCTTGTTAGAAGGAAGTTATGATTTTTTGAAAATGGTGGGACAAAACTTTTGGACCAACCTAATAATTGTTTAAACTTTTGAAAATTCAATTTAACCTTGTGGCTGGCACCACGCCCCCTTTTTCTGTAATTTCAGGGTTAGGGGCCCGCCAAAATTTTGGGAAGCATACCAAAATCTTTCGGAGTGGCTGGCTAACGCCAAGCACCTTCATCAGAAAAAATTTTTTGGTCCCTTCCCCTCCCCCCCCCCCCCTCCCCCGAACAGAAATCCTGGGTACGCACTGGTACAGCCACCTTATATATAAAGCTGAATGTCTGTTTGTATGTCCGTCTGTATGTATGTATTTATGTAGCTATGTCTGTACGTACATATATGTGTGGAGTATATACGTTTGTATAATATGGACCCCTGCCAGCTTCCCATAGGTACCTCCGCGTCGCATACGCAACGCGGGCCCGACTTGAAGCTTCTTATCTCACTTATGAACACGAAAGCATTTCTACTTGAAAAAGGAGTTGAATGAAAAGTGGAAACTTCTACACGAAACTTAAGAAAATCCATAGCATCAAGAGAATGTGCATAACTTCCTCTAGCGCCCAGATTCTAGTCATTTCATTGATGTAGTATAATACCATAAGTGATGGGTGATAGAGGGACCAGGAGAAGTCGAGGAACACTTCAAAACGTTTTTCTTCTGTGGCCACAAAGACTAGAAGATCGAGAGCAGAAGGTTAGAAGCAAAGCCCTAACGGCGCATCAAAAAAGCCTAGAAACATCTTCAATAGAAATCAATCGGATATACAGGCTTATCCTGTAATAGCAGCCATTAGAAGAGACATCCCCATATACTGCATCCAAATCTTCACTATCGAGAAAAAAAAACAGATTTTCGATTGAAAGCGCTCAAGACTGTCAAGTCTCTTGAAAACTCATCCACGGCAGTTGTCGTGAGATCTTTACACCTAAAATGGAGAAATTACAGCACAGAACAAAGTCACTTAAGAGAGAAAAGCAAAAAAGTCAGTAGAGCTGAGACGATAAGCGCACTAAAGGCATGCGCTGCGCGCGCGTCGCGGAGGTACCTGTGGGAAGCTGGCCGGGGTCCACACTATATATGTGTAATTATGTGTTTATGTGTGTATGTGTGCATGTATACAACATGCGCACATGCTTGGACTAGCTTTGTCAGACATGTATGAGTAGTGTCTTTCAAGTTTACTAACTGAGAAAAGTTGCTGTAGACCATCGAAAAGCCTTGAACATTCCCTAGCTCTCAATGCTAAGGGATAGGGCAGCGATCAACTGGTTTGCTTCAACGTTCCTTTCGTTCACCAACAATCGTGCTTATCTTTCTTTAAGTATTTGGTGAGTAAAGAGGGCAACGAAATTAATCTTATTCTGCATTCTTTATGAAACCATTGTAACTAACACTTTGTAATCCAAGTAAGAGTAAGTAAATTTAGGTTATAAATGGTACTTGGCATTCATTATATTATTACATCAAAGTCCTAACTAACAGTAACTTCCAAATTAGCTGCACTCATCAAAAGGTTATGATTAAAGGCAGCGGCCCGGCAAAAAGATGGGTGCCGGGTTTTTGTGGCGATGTAAAGTAGACCCCTACCTAATCGACTGTTGAAGTTCGCAGCGAAAGAGGGGGTCTACCAAGCCTGGAATTCGCTTCGAAATTGGCCTGAATCTTACGGTAGGCCCGGACGCCGCTCATACGGCACTATCGATTTGCAAGGCCAGAGTGCGGATAGCGCGGGTAGGGGAACGAAAGCCACCAGCTTCGGTCGCCCGCGCGGACTGCTGGTCCTGGAACGACATGCAACAACGTTGCGAAAGGACCAGTTAGCCGCAAAGGCGGCTCAAACTGGCGGCTTTGGTTCCCCTACGCGGATTGCGCTCATAATCATGAGCGTAGGGTCCCGCAACGATTCTGCTCTCTACTTTACGTGCATCTCGCACTCGCGCGAGCCTACCGTAAGATTCGGGCACTTGGGGCGATTTGTAGACTTCGTAGACCCCCTTTCGCGCTGCAGACTCTGTCGTCGCTTAGTTAGGGAGTTTGCTATCAAATTATTACCCAGAGCCAGGTACCCCCAGTCTGGTGGGTCGCTGCCTTTGAGAGATGGGGCCACTTACGATTTATTTTTTTATAGAGATCCCAGCTCTGAAAGCAGCTATGTATGCTCACCTTAAACTAATCTAATAAGATAAACCTATATACTGTGGAAAGGGAAGGAAGCTAATACTTCATGCTAGTGATCCATTCCCGCCCAATTTGAAAACCAATATTGATCTACATTAGGCGGATTAAAAGCAATAAATAGGGATGAGAAGTGATAGATTTGCTTTTTATCATGTGCGACGCCCCTTCTACGTGGCCGCTGCCCTAAACACAATCCTAGCTCCCGAGAATACAGATCGCAGCTATCAACTGCGTTGATGTCTCTGGACAGTGCGATCGACTCCATATACAGCAGGACAAATTGGAGAAAGAAACGTTGCATGTTTAGGACGAACGGAATGATGGTAAGTAGCCTCAGAGTTGTGTTACCAAGTATGTGTCGAGAATTCAAGTGATTATCCCTCCTTCCCATTTGGAGTAACAAAATTCCAACTTCTTCAAAAGCTATCCAGTCAGCTCGAGTACACCAAGCCATTATTTGGTAGTTAAAGCAATTTGCTTGCGTGCGATATACTATACGTAAAAAAGGCCGCTTATTATGTAACGTGACTGTAAGTTTGGCAACTTTAAGTGCATGTTTACTAGTTATTTCTGTTTAGTTTTTTGTGGCTCAACTCCACTACGAACACATCGTGCTCGCCGTTTTTCAACGAAAAATTGTGACGCATAACCAGAAACTTCCCAAAGGTATGTACACAATGTACAACTTGATGAGAGTTGTATTTTCAGTGAAACCCATACACCGATTACAGACAATCTCGAAGCTGTGTGATTTGAAAAAGAATTAGCTGAGAATAAATAAACTAAATCTATTCGCAGTGAAATTTCGATATACCGTCGTTTGGGCTTCATTTGACTTGAGAAAAGCATACATTTGCCTTAAGTCACGCAATCGTAGCATCGTGCTGAAATTTCTCATATTCGAAAGTAGCTGATTAGCATATTACGAAGAACTTTTGACATGCTTTTATTCGTGAATATTGGCTTTTATGCACACGTAAAAGCAACCCCCGTTCAGAAGCCGTGTGTCGCTCGTTTTTCTCCCGGCTCCAATCGTCGTTGCAGAGCATGCTACAACAATTCGTTATAGTCGTCCTCATCTCACTAAACATCCGGTGGACAAGTTCGAATTTGAACTGGAGCAGGCCCGCTGCGGTAGAGCGCTGCACACTAAACCCTCAAGTCAAGCGCGCTTGTTTCCTTTGATTTCTTCGTTCTTTGTAGGCTATTTTCTATGTTTTTGATGGTCTACAATCAGAAATGACGGTTTTAGGCCCGTATGCACGTACATCCCCGCTGGGAAGGGAAGGGATCTGAGAGGGGATGCATCATATCCCGCTACTTTAGGTATCTTTCTTCTTCCTCCTCTATCTTGCTTATGAAGGTTCTCCTATCCTTGCGCCTGCACATAATGGATGCCAGGTTACTGCCATACAAGATTGGTTTTTTGCGATCTTGTGTGACCCCCTGGGGATCCCCAGGTGATCATCACCCCTCATTTTCAGAGTCATTTATCTTCCTGAGAAGTCAGTGGAAACGCTGCAAAATGGTACTGAGAATATACTGCAACACAGCTAAACATATTTATAGTGGAAAAAAAATTGAAATTGATATCAAAATCTTCGATGAACCACTGCTCGCGAGCCAGGTATCACCGAAAAATTTAAAATTTTTAGGTTCCGTTGCTCCTGTCGAAAACATGCATAGCAGTGCCGTGGTATATCCTCAGTACAATTTTGCAGCGTCTTCATTGACTTTTCAGGAAGATAAATCACTTTGAAAATGAGAGGGGATCCCCAGGGGATCACACAAAATGGCAAAAAGCCAATCTTGTATGGCAGTAACCTGGCATCCATTATGCGCAGGCGTAAGGGTATGAGAACCTTCATAGGCAGAATAGAGAAGGAAGAATAAAGATGGAAAGATGTCTAGAGTAGCGAGATATGATGCATCCCCTCTCAGATCCCCTTCCCTTCCCAACGGGGATGTACGTACGTGCATACGAGCCTTAGTATCGTTGAAAACTTTTACTTACGCTTTATGCTGTGTGCTCGTTCTTCATTGTTCGAGTGAGCGATTGAGTTCTGGGATGTTTGCTTCATAATTCGTCCAATAAGTAACGGTGCTGGATGTTGCTTTAGTGACTTTTATGTTGCAAATCCGTATGACCGTTTGTATAAGCCAAATTATTTCAATAGGACGAGAACAGTGGTGAAACATTGCTGGAGATCAACAAAACCACCATTTCTGATCACGACCATTTTTGACTCGCTGGAGACAGCAAACCGATTAAGAAATGGAGAAAAACGTTTGTGAGCTCGAATTGAGGGCGCCACTCTACTGCAGCCGGCCCCAGTTGATCGAATGTGCTCACCATATGTCCTATGGGGTGAGGACGACTACACAAACGGATTGGTCATGCTGCTGAATGACGATAAGACCCCAGATGCAAAATGATCTGCAAGAGTCTGTCTTTGACGCGTGAAAGCTTTTGATATAGCTGCCGGACTTAGCGTGGTGGGTGAGAGCTTTGCTGCTTTTTTGCACAGAAGAATTTTCTTAGTTTGAGCTGTTTTTAACAAAATCATTTGCAAGCTATTACAAGTATTCAATTCTTGGAAGTGGCCTTTCTATATGACATCTATATCATTTTGTAGAGCATGAACACTGATTTCAAATCTTCCTTATCTAAGCAACAACTCTTTTGAAGAAGGTTCGAGTGTTTGAAAGTCTTTGTCGAACCTTAGATAGCCTGAAATTAGCGAAAAGTTATACAAAAACACCTGTACGAGTTTTCACAAGCTGTTTCTTTCTTGTAGTCAATATACTTAATTGCCTACTTTCAGCTACTTTTGTGCAGCTCTCTAATTTCACGCTACCTATAGCGTGACAAATCTAGAAGTTCACACTCTCTCTTTTCGGAAAGTGTGGCAGGAAAGGAACGTCGCTTGAAGGCCCCTTTAGAGTCATATAGAAGGGGCACTTCGACCAAAAAACCTGATTTACGGCTACCAAGTGACAAGAACAAGGAACACGAAAGTATTGAAATATACTGCTTTTCAAATTGGGTGGTGAGAGGTGTTCGAAGAAGAGTAGTTCGTTGCGCAGGAAATGTAGAAAAAAGAAAATCGATATTACAATTTTCAAAAGTAAAAGCACTTACAGTTCTTTCTACGGTAAACATCGCAAATATGGTTAACTCATTTTTCACGCGCTTTTATTTTTGATACACCCATAGGCATTCAAGGTTTTCGGGCGGAAATTTTTGATTTAATTTCTATACATCAAGCATCTGTCTGGCTACTCATTGAAAGGTTTTCACGCAACTGGCACGTGAGCCTTTGGATTTCAACAGCCATTGTCGAACAACATCGGGCACCATCGTCCTGATAAAATAAATTTTAGCTCTAATGCATCGTACTTCACTATTCCGGTTGCATTTTTTTCAAATCACTCTTTGAAAATCTTCTTGTTGCCATCTTGATTGAGCTCAACGAAAGGATATCCACATTATTGGACTTACAGTATGAAGCTATCAGTAAATATAGTTGCTTGAAAAAAATTTCGCTTTTCACGAGCATCACATTTCACAGAACAGCGATTTTCAGAAGACCTTAGTCGCATTCGATACAACTTTTCCTCCTTTACCAGATAGTTATGATTTGCAATGTAGCCGCTGAGCTCTCTATAAAGTACCAAAAATTACGACCTACTATGGTTTTTGCCATGATTAAGTTTCGCTATTTTTCAAATTTCCCTACCAACCCCCAAGAAGCTTAAAGGCAGTGTCTCACCAAAGTTGAGGTCGCGCGGATCTTCACATATTCTATTATAGGGACCTCTAAATGGCCATTGCAACAAGTCCCACTCAGTTTGACCCCCTCCACGCTGAGAAAAATTTGCCCAAAGTGGTACGCGGAGAGCCAGTTGGTACGCGCGGACGTCTCCTTCGGTCTCCCCCCTTACGCGTTTGAACATGTCCCTCCACTTGGCATCCACCTCCCCTCTGTTGCTGCCACTGTGGCTGAGGCTGAACATGGAAGGTACAACTCGTCCACGTTGCTTCTGCAGGGCCTCCAGAAAACGGGGTTTTTGGGAACTTCGTGCGATTTTTAGCCCATACAGTGCTAGACAGGGCCCGACAGGCTTGCAAAATGCAAAAAACTCGGCAACTAAATTTTGGTGAGACACTGCCTTTAAGTGACGACTGAATAGACCAAACCCTGTAGGATTTCTTCGTTCCACAGCTCTCCAAAATTCTTTGATAAAATTCTATTTGATAGTTCACTTTCCATGATTTGGCACCTCAAACCTCGTAGAACATCAATCGGCGAGCAACTCAGTTGTCATTCAATGAAGTTCATTCTCCTCTATCTAGAGCATTTTTTGCTCTCGATTGTGAAGTGCTCGGTAAATCCATCATGATGTTTTCAAATGCACTCCAGGCTGCACCCTGAAGATTCGAGATTGGATATGTCATTTTCATAAACGCATACTCTTTGTACATTTAGTGCACATCATGGTAATTTTTAAAATCCTCAGATTGCATTGGTGTTGATGTATTTGTGTCTGAAATAGTTCTGTCAAAATCCTTGGTTTTAATGAAAATTTTTTGAAGACTTATGACGAAAAATGCGAATTGGGAGCCATTTATTCTGTATCGTATAAGGTTTGCTCTATCCATCTGTTACTTGTATCGATTTTTAGGGATTGGCATAAAAACTTAGAAGAAACTTGACGTTAGCAAAAACTATATGTCTTGAGTTTTGGTATTTTTCTAAGTTCATCGTTGGTTCGATTGCAATGGGAATATAACCATCTGTAAAAGGATAAAAAGATGTTTCGAAGGCCTCCAAGACTTTCCGAGAATCTTCGAGATGCGGGAAGTAGCTCTCGTTAGAAAAAAACAAAATTTTCCACGACCTATATCAGATTGGAGCAAAAGTTCTTGCGTAATTCAACGAAATTCAATAACTTTTCAAATAAACCTAAGTTCATGATTTGGCATCCATTAAAAATGGTAGAAAGACTGCGCTATATGCTAAATGTTCAACAAAACATTGTATAAGTGAGCCGACGAGAACGGATTTTGCAAAATGGCTTTCGATTCTTGCGTTGAGTTTGGTGCTAGAAAATCAGGACAGCTAGCCAGCCAAAGAGAATCTGTAAAAATTACTTACTTAGCGAAAGATACATTACTGTGGCAATCTTCAATGTCTTATGTGACGCAAAAACAAAAAATGAAGAACGCTACACTCTACAAGAAAACCTCAAGAAGTGACCACTTTTTTCAGCGAAATGTTTTGACACTCCAAAAAACGTCGCAGTGCTTCAAATCACCACTATGTCTAATCTCTGGTTTCAACCGTTTTGTGCAAAATTACAGCATTGAGGGGAGTTGTCTCTTAAAATGACCGTTTTCACACATTTTCTGTTTTGGCATTCCCATATGAAATTGAAGCATGCCAAAGGAACCTATGGACGTTTGCTATGCATGAAATTTTTGCACATCGGGCTTGCTAGCTTTTAGCACCAGTCTCAAAATCACGAGGTTTGAAACACCTTATTTGAAAGCTTCGTTCTCGATGGCTATCTTATATGAGGTCACGTTTGAACATGTGAAATGAAGCGCAAACCTTATACCATTTCCAGGATGCCGAGCTTTGAGGTTAGGTTTACTAATTGAAAAGTTCTCAAATTGCATTTGAGTTACGCAATATTTTTCGCGCCAACCTAATACCCACATCAGCTGGCTAACAATAGCCCGTGTAGGTCAGCAGAAAGTTTCATTTTCTGACCAGAAGTACTCACAAGTAATGATAACCGTTTCTTCCCTTGCTACTGCGTGAAATGTAGAGTGACTATTTCGTCATTTAGCAGATGAAACGAACGTCAGTTAGCCCTCAATTTTTAATCTAATATTTATTCACATATCTCACTCCTTGATTCCGCATGTCTGATCATGTTATTCAATAATATCCTGAGATGGAAACTTAAATTTGAAGTGAAGTTGGGCAAGCTACAGAGCAAGGCACGCTCAGCCCTTCGTCGTTGGTTGCTATATTCTGTGTTGTCACAATGTTCTTGACTGGAATTGACTTTTTAAAGGAACGTTCGTACTGCACTGTTCTTTCGCTCTCTTTCGCTTCAGTTAAGTTCATAGAAATGATGCGGGTCTGAATTTATAAAAACACTAAAGCAAGATTTCTGCATATTTTACCTATCAAAAAGTGAATTCCAAGAAAAAAATCCATTTGCTTCGCTTCTTCACACGTACATGAAACCAATTATATAAGAAAGTTAACAGCAAGCAACTACGTAAAAAACAGGGAACTATGCACGAATTTGAAATGTTGGCTGAGGATGCCGTCGTCCGCAAGCATGTCCTAGTTTAAATCAAATTTGCATCAGGCAACTTATTAAATGAAAAAGACTCTTGACGACTGTAGACTGTAGACGTTTGCGTATGCATCGTTCACATCACGCTATTTTTGTGAAAACTCCAAACAAACGATGCGTCTACAAATGTGCCGCAGACCCTAGTAAGCCGCCACTAATCTAATTCATGTTGCGTTGCCAATTAGACCTAGGGTTAAGAAGGTATATCGGTAACACCATGTTTTTCAGAAATGAAACTACTCATCTTGGTATTCGCCATCCTAGCCATTGTTGGTGGTGGGTTTGAACTATGTAAAACGTGCGCTTGTATTTGATTTTTATTTTTATAAGATCTCGAAATTTTGAGTTGTGGAGATGTACATTGAATTTTAATGCATTTAGTACTCAAGCAGTTTCGACAGTCAGGGGAAGTAAGCAGGTCCAATGTATTTTCAGCGTAACTTATTGCACTAGAGACAAATTGTTCGTTACAAATTTGTACTTACTTTCGACTTATTAGCTTTTGTGATCAGACAGTCCCCGGGGTGGGCGCTCGCCGAATAGTGCGCCTTTTCAGAATCTCGCACTCCGCAGAGTTTGAGGAAATGTCATGTTTTTGCAGTGCCACTTTTGACCTCTTACCATTTTGCTGGTAGATTGCTGCTTGTTGCCAAAAAAGATAGAATTCGATTTGCAGCCTTGTAAAAACTCGTGGTCGGTTTTTCATGATTCCGCGAGCGAAGTGGGAAAAATCATTTATTTGTCTCTTCGATGCCAGCTTATCGTCAGCGATTATGTAGGGAAATGCTCGCACTGACCTTTTCCATGTTTTTCTCTTTCCGTAATGGCATCATGCAAGTTCACTGGGTAGTGTGACCATCAATCATAAATTGTTAACCTGCTCAATCGATATCAAACTGTATTGTCGAAACCTTCCTAAGTGTTGGAATGTAGTGATAGAAACAAGCTTGCAGAATCAAGACTCTCTTCATGGTTTGATAGATTATCGCAGTAAAATCAGTTAACATAGTAGTTTAATTCGATCCAAGGATTGGAAAAAATGCAAACGGTGAAGAATGCGAAAATCTGTGCTCCACGAAGCGGCGTGTATGAGGAGCTTTGCGTTTTTCACAACGTTATTTACAGCTGCGGAAGAAGAAATCAAATGCGATGCAAATAAGAAGTGTCCTCCCAAGTACGTCTGTTCTTCCGATGGAACCTGTTTATGTGAGTAGCGAGTCTTTTTTTGATTTACAAGTAAGTATCGCACAATCAACTAACTTCTAGATCGCTGTCCAACATACGTGCCAGAAAGAGTTCCTACAGGATGTAGGCTGAAAAATTTCACGGACAGAAGAGGATGCGAACGTGTAAAAATAGTTTGCGATAAAAAACAGAACTGATGAATAAAAAGCTTTTGTGTCAGTGGCATTTGCAACAGTGTTTGTGCGAACTTTTAGCAGTTAGCTGATAAAGTGTAGTGCTTCATCAAGCAAGCGTTTAGCTTTCCAAGCGTATGGTTCAAGATATCTCATTTTTTGCATGCGTTCAACACTTTTGAGTTTTCGAGAAAAACTGCTGCACAAGTCCACATGTTTTGCGACCCAGCGACATTAATAAGCACGTGGTTGGTTTTTCGTAAATGTTGTTCTTATCAGGGCTCGGCACAGGTGGCTTACCGGGCAAGCTGGATATCGTTTTGGAGGTAAAAAGCAGAGGGGATATCGTTTTTGCGGAAGAGCACCGCTGTCTTTCGATCTGCTGCCGGCACGCTGCCGGCATGCCGGCAGCACGGTCTCTCAAGCAAACAAACGGCTTGTTTACAGTGAAATGAAAATGAAATGACACCAAAATGGGTGTGTAGATGGGCAATGGGGGGATAGTACTATGTGCAAAAAATTATGAAAAAGTTTTATGTGAATTAAAGTCGCGGCAAACTTTTTTCGGAGTTAGGTGGCTTTACAGCCACCTGGACAGCCACCTGAGGTGGCTGTAAAAAGATGATAAAGTCATATAATTTCCTTCCTTTACATAATTTTCTCACATGTTTAACATAGCCTTGTTCTACATCACAATCCCCACAACTGAGTTTTTGAATCTCCCAGAACCCCCTCTTCCTCGCCTAGTTACAGCCCTTCAAATATTTTGTATGGCGGCGGCAAGTCTGCTCCAACCGCGCAAGGGTGCGCGTCGGACACAGCATGCCGCCAATTTGGAGAAAACGAACATCTTTGGCTTTTTTCATCTGTTCGAAGTTGTTTTATGTTTTGCTCCATTACTTTTCGTTGTTCGATTTGATCCTTTCACGATCGCGTCATGGGTGATGTCGTACTTTCCTGCCGAAGTCCACAGGGACTTCGTTTTTAAATAAATGAAAAAGCCACCTCATGCCGAGCCCTGGTTCTTATGCGTTTTTCCTTGCATGCGATTAGGCGATTTGAACCAGGCAATCTGTTACTGCAAATAGTCTTTCCCTCGTATGGAACGAGGAAAAATATAATACAAGCCTACATGGTTTGTCAATCTTCACTGTTATATGTTTAAGTTGACTCTCAGAAGATTACAAGCCGTCTGAAAGCCAACTCATCCTTTGCATGCGCATCACATATCATGTAAGGTCGTAAGGACCGTTTTGCTTGTAAGACGAAGAGTTGCGGTGATACATTCTATTGATGCCAAATAATTGAAGAAACGGCAATGTTTTTTATAAGGATGCCGCGTAAACAGATCGTGACCAGGCTGATGAGAAGAGCGCTTACAATAAGGCTTGAGTAATCTCTTGTTGTCGCAAGGTTGGGACGTGCTCAAATTGAGTTTACGGCATATCAACGCAGTGCTATCAGTCTTGCCATCGACTACGATGCGAATCTCTTCCTAGACATGATGAACCTACGCATTCTAAAAAAATGCATTCTGGTTTTGGGTGAACAGGTAGATTACTGCTTTTTGAGCAAGAGTTCCATGGATCGAGAGTGCGGCACGGTTTTTGCATCTTGATAGCTGTACCAGTGTGAACCGCATATGAAGGAATAAAACAGTGATAATATTTTATCTTCAGTCAATTTAAAATGAGGACTAGTAAAAAATAAAAAGAATCATTGCTACCTCAAGCATTCGTCAAAAATTTCAAAGGCTTTCTCCTCCGAAAGGGAAGACACGGCACAATCACAAATTTTCCCACCTATGTAAAACGTCTTAAACGTCTTCTTTCTTTCGATATTAAAGCAGTGAAACTGTAAAATCACAGATATGACTGTCGGCATTATGTGGGAAAATGTAATTTGTGAAAAGCGATATATCACAAGCGCAGATGACGCACGTTCATTTCCCAGCATTCGTTCAATCATAGGATTATTAGGGCTCGTCCTTCCATCTTCGTTAGTTTCTGAGCAAAAACAAATTTCAATTAAAGCGGTCACAAACTTTATGCTCTTTTCGTAGGTCACTGTGCGCTGGTGCAGGTTACAACACATATTTCGCCAAGTGGAATGACGCAAAGCGGACGTCATCACATGCGGCGGAAACCGTCGCGCAGCGTTGTGTGCCGTCCTGTGCCAGCACTGTGTCATCACACGTAAAGGTTTAGATCTAGTCTTACGAGACAACTATAACTTTTTGAGACAATTCGGAAGCAGAATTCAGGACCTATTTCCTGCATACAGCAGCTCTTCAAAATCTGGTTTAAACTATCATTTACATTATGTTAGACACTTCCGCCGTACTCGTTTCATTGTAAATGGCGGGTAGGGCGCAGCTTATTAAAGGCACCGTCCACCCAAAATGGAGGTTGACGAGATTATGATGGCATACTGTTGTGGGAGCAAACCCCCAAGCCTCGCCGCAAAAGACTGCTCCTGGAGCGAGAAATCCGCTCCGGAAGTAGCAAAGAGGAATTCGAGATTTTGGGTGGACGGTGCCTTTAAGCCTGAGAAATGATCAGAACGCTCGAGAGAGAGGTGCAGAGTCCGAAGTTCCACCCACACCCGCCACTCGCAATGATACATAGGGTACATCGTACATTTCCAGCGCTTTTTCTATTTATCTTACTCATCACTGCACTTCTCAGACATTTCTTACAATAGCTGGCAGTCACGCATACGACAACTGCCTTCTAATCATGATATCCAGCCTTAAAAAAAGCATTCTGCATTTTGAGCCTGAATTACCAGTTCATCAAATCAGTGAGCAGTGGAAAGGTAAAGAGTTTTTACAAACATTCTATCTTCAGGATGAAACTGCTTGTCGTTGTCTGCGCCCTGCTGGCTTGCAACGGTAACAGAATGATGTGTGTTAGAATCGATTAGAACAAATGGATTGCTGGTTGTTACAGTGGGCGAAAAAATTAGTTGCGACGAGAAAACGCCATGTCCTGCAGGAAATGTTTGCATTGATCAGATCTGTACTCGCTGTAAGTGGGACTTACGTAAGATTTTCGAAGCTTGAGGTGCAATGCGATTTCTGGCAGTCTATAAATTGAGCGTCAAAAGTTTGGGAGCTTACTTTCCAGCACTGTAATTTTAAAAGCTACAAAAAATTTTGGTTTCAATTTTTTGCCGCTTGATGCTGCCTTCCTCCACAAAGTATACTTTCTCGAGCTCCAAATTATTGTCTTTTGTCGTAAGAACCGAATCATCAAGCTTGCAAAATCACAGTTTCTAATGTTTACCATTTATTCAACCGGAAATACTTGGGAATATTTCGCAACATTCTTACCCACAATGTAGAGAAGGCTTTTGCGCTACCACACCGTAGTAAAGGCTTATCAATTGAGGTGTCGGGTGCACCAGCCTCTTCACTCATCGAGACTCCGCCTTTCCCACGCTCGCCCTGGGGACTTGCTCAGAAGCATATACCGCGGTAGAGACGCAGATTCTAGAGCGGGAATGGAGATGATGGTGCACACGACACTTCACTTGATAAGCCCTGTAGTCGTATTTGTCAGGAAGCTATTTTTCGTAAACGGATAATAAAGATGTGCGAATGCTATCAGCGTGCCGATGGTCATCTGTCTTTGAAAAAAAATTAGAAGCGCAGTAGACATTGAATCTAAGGCTACATCCTTTCTATATGCTTCCGTATAAGCATGTATATAAATTCTTTAATGTAACAGTTCCAATATTTCCTTGTCGTTGGATTTCCTTTCCCCTTCATGCAATTTTCAAAGTATGCGACGTACTTGAGTTCAAATCTTCAGTATTTTATTCCTAAACTAGCTGGCATACCCGGCTCCGCCCGGCATCACATACACTTCGGTAAAAAAAACGAAGTTATATTCCTCAAGAAGAGAAAACAACTTTGGCTCTTTAATTGTGGTTGTCCTCAACAGAGGCAACCGATGGTTGTCCTCAACAGAGGCAACCGATGGTTGTCCTCAACAGAGGCAACCATGGTTGTCCTCAACAGAGGCAACCGATGGTTATCCTCAACAGAGGCAACCGATGGTTGGTACGATGGTTGTCCTCAACAGAGGCAACCGATGGTTGTCCTCAACAGAGGCAGCCGATGGTTGTACCGATGGTTGTCCTCAACAGAGGCAACCGATGGTTGGTACGATGGTTGTCCTCAACAGAGGCAACCGATGGTTGTCCTCAACAGAGGCAACCGATGGTTGTGTCCTCAACAGAGGCAACCCATGGTTGTCCTCAACAGAGGCAACCGATGGTTGGTACGATGGTTGTCCTCAACAGAGGCAACCGATGGTTGTCCTCAACAGAGGCAGCCGATGGTTGTACCGATGGTTGTCCTCAACAGAGGCAACCGATGGTTGTCCTCAACAGAGGCAACCGATGATTGTCCTCAACAGAGGCAACCGATGGTTCTACCGATGGTTGTCCTCAACAGAGGCAACCGATGGTTGTACCGATGATTGTCCTCAACAGAGGCAGCCGATGGTTGTACCGATGGTTGTCCTCAACAGAGGCAACCGATGGTTGGTACGATGGTTGTCCTCGATAGAGACAACCGATGGTTGTCCTCGGCAGAGGCAACCGATGATTGTCTTCCAAGTGAGGCAACCGATGGCTGTTCTCAACAGAGACAACCGATGGCTGTCTTCGATAGAGACAACCGATGGCTGTTCTCGATAGAGACAACCGATGGCTGTTCTCGATAGAGACAACCGATGGCTGTCCTCGATAGGGACAACCGATGGCTGTCCTCGATAGAGACAACCGATGGCTGTTCTCAACAAAGACAACCGATGGCTGTCCTCCAAGTGAGGCTACCGATGGCTGTTCTCAACAGAGACAACCGATGGCTGTCCTCGATAGGGACAACCGATGGCTGTCCTCGATAGGGACAACCGATGGCTGTTCTCAACAGAGACAACCGATGGCTGTCCTCATTAGAGACAGCCGATGGCTGATCTCAACAGAGACAACCGATGGCTGTTCTCAACAGAGACTACCGATGGTTGTTCTCAACAAAGACAACCGATGGCTGTCCTCGATAGAGACAACCGATGGCTGTCCTCGATAGAGACAACCGATGGCTGTTCTCAACAAAGACAACCGATGGCTGTCCTCCAAGTGAGGCTACCGATGGCTGTTCTCAACAGAGACAACCGATGGCTGTCCTCATTAGAGACAACCGATGGCTGTTCTCAACAGAGACTACCGATGGTTGTTCTCAACAAAGACAACCGATGGCTGTCCTCGATAGAGACAACCGATGGCTGTCCTCGATAGAGACAACCGATGGCTGTTCTCAACAATGACAACCGATGGCTGTCCTCCAAGTGAGGCTACCGATGGCTGTTCTCAACAGAGACAACCGATGGCTGTCCTCATTAGAGACAACCGATGGTTGTCCTCGATAGAGACAACCGATGGCTGTCCTCCAAGTGAGGCTACCGATGGCTGTCCTCAACAGAGGCGACCGATGGTTGTACCGATGGTTGTCCTCAACAGAGGCAGCCGATGCCGATGGTCCTTTCGTTTCGTTCCTCAAGAAGAGGATGTACCGTTTCGTTCCTATCCTTAGACGGTTTGGCTAAACAGGTCCTAGGCTTTCCCCGGAACTCATCAGTAAGGGAGGGAGCTCGATTGGATCTGTTCAACTTCTCGTTTGTCCCACCCACCTGCCCTGACCGCCGCTGGCCTCCGTTTTTTTTTTGGGTTTTCGTTTTGCCATTTTTTTGGATTTTGTATTTTCCAATTTTTTTGGATTTTATGTTTTCCAATTTTTTTGGATTTTTCCAATAGAAATGGCATGCAACAAATAAATACTGCACTATGCTACAGCATGCAATTATGTTAGCGCCCTGGGATACACTACGTTAGCCGTGCTCCCTTCGGGCGCATATATGTACAGGTTCGCCGGACTCCCGACCCTCAAACACGCCACGTACAGTTGACCATGCGAAAAACAGGGAGTTTCCAGGTCTACTCCTACTGTTCGTAGAGACTGTCCTTGCGCTTTGTTGATCGTCATAGCAAGTGCAGGCCTGACCGGAAACTGCACTCGCCTGAACTCAAAGGGCATATCGGAGGGGACGAAAGGGATTCGTGGAACATGAACCACTTCGCCTTTGAACTTCCCCGCCAATATGGTCGCTACTATGACGTTTGGCATGAGATCCCTGATGCAAAGCCTTGTACCATTGCACATCCTCGGTGGGTTGATGTTACGAAGGAGCATGATTGGCAAACCAACCTTCAGATCAAGTCTGTGAGGTGGTATCCCATTGGTCTGGAGTGAATTCAAGAACTCAGTGGGGAAGTAAACAGCCTGTTCACGCTGAACCATGGTATCAAAGGACGTGTACGTTGATACCGGTCCAGGTAGGCTGTTTAAAATCTGAGCATTGATAGAATCCACTTGCTCATTTTTGGGTGCCAGAATTGCTCGCTCGCAAATCCAGTCCCCATTGCTGAAGTTGGTGGCAATGTTTGGGAAGACCTTTTCGATCAGTTCTCCCACCGATTGAACCATATTGCAGAAGTCTGGAGGGAAGGTAATCCAGCCAGAACTTGGTTCAACCGGAATTCTGCCTTCGCCAAGAAGCAACAGCTGTTGCGCAAAGTTTCGGGCAGTCTCATCGCCAAGGAGGTGGACTCGCATGTTCGTCGTGAGATTCAGCGATCGAACATGTCTCCAGAGAGGAGAAGCTTTAAGGCAAGCGTTCAGCTCATCTGCTGGAGTCGATCGCGGAATTACTGGCAGAGTCTGACGAAAGTCGCCTGCCAGTAGCACGACGGCCCCACCCATTAGCGTGTCGCTTTCTCGGATGTCTCGCAGTGTGTTGTCAAGGGCTTCCAGGCACTTCTTATGCGCCATGGTGCATTCGTCCCAAACTATGAGTTTGGTTTCTTGTAGCACCTTGGCTTTCCCTGTGCCTTTGCTTATCCCACACACTGGGTGCTCTACATGAGCAATATCCAGAGGAAGCTTGAAGGCTGAATGAGCAGTTCGGCCTCCTTCTAGCAGTGTTGAGGCAATCCCCGAGGATGCCACTGCTACTGCGATTCCTCCTTGTCTGCGAATCTCGGCAAGTAGGAGATTGATGAGGAACGTTTTCCCTGTTCCACCCGGAGCGTCGAGAAAGAGTAGCCCACCTCTGCCACTGGAAATCGTGTCCAGAACAGCACGGTAGACCAACTCTTGATCCTCCGTAAGAAGAGGTCTGTTAGACTCTACATATGTAGTCAGCTGATCGGCATCATAGGACCTCTCTCGGAGAACATCGCTCTCGAGTGCCTGGTCATCTCCGCGTATTGGCGGCGTCAAACCTAGGTCTCTGAGAGTTTGACCGTTCATCGACACGCACGTATCCTCAAGCAGTATCAACGCTCGGTTGAATATCTCGGGAGAGTAACCGATGTCTGCAGAGGGTAACCCTCTGCGACATTCCCTGAGTACATCTTCACTCAGAGCCTCTTTGTACTTCTCCCAGAGTGCTCGAGGATTTGACGGTTGACAGACTGTCAAGATGATGCCGAAGAGACTTCGCAGTTGAGCAGCGAAACTTGTCGTAGCTGCTTCTGCGAGAGTTCTGTCCCATTGCTGATCATCTTCAAGCAAGCCAAGTCTTTGGCATGCTTCTCTGTAGGTCTCACATTCCTCTCCATCGATGGTCCTCAATGCTGCGAATGACGTCGGTCCTCGGATTGTGTGAAGCAACAATCTGAGGTAGAAGCATTCGGCTTGGTTAGGGTGTACAGTGTATACACGCGCTAACACATCCGCAGCACGTATGCCAGGTTGTCCGGGAACTTCGGCTCCTTGCTTCCTTCTGGCCCATTTCTTTGTTGACTTGTTCCAAGTATAATATCTTGGAACTTCTGAGTACAACAAAGTCCGTGCGAACGGATCATGTTGGCACAGAAGGAAGAATGCCGTCAAAGTTGTTTGAGGTGGCTGCGCAGCTCTTTCCCGCGCATTATCAGCCGTGAAATAGACGCGTTGTCC